CCAAGTCATGAAAAAACCATCCACACATGACATGAAACCAAATCATCCAAATCCAAACAGCTTTGCTTGGATGCGGACTTTTGGCCAATTGATGGCAAACACCCACCTGGTTCCTCCATCCATTGTTGCATGAATCATCGCCAGTTCATGAAACAAACATTCACCATTACACCCATACAGGAACCACAACATGTCTTGCAGCAAAACGATAAGAGGTTTAACTAAAGCTATGTTGAGATATGTTGAGATTATTTTGGGGGCTTTAAGACTCTCCAGAGCAACGCTTGACGCTTGCCCTGCGAAGCAACGTGTTGCATGCCCACCGGAACGGTGCTAGCACAGAACCAGTCTTGTTCGTGCCAAACCTACGGATCCACCCCAACCAATTGGGACATGAGTCCACATTAATTTCTTCAACAAGGTGTGAAATATTGTGAAATCAAATCATCCCTTCACAACTTGCCAGTGACTGAGTCTGACTGGCGACCGGCGGACCATGCACCAAAAAACCATGTCGTGCCCCCGTCCTCCACCTTGGAAGATTCTCAGCCCAAAATGGATCACCGGCGTCCCATGAAATCAAGAAAAACGATACAAGTCAGGGTACTAAGTCAGGGTGTCTTTCTTAGTAGGGCCTACTTTACTAGACCTCCGAAAAGATCAGCTTTGCTTGTCTTGCAACAGAAATCTTCTACAGTCGGACAACATACATATTCATTGCAGGCGCAAGTTGCAAGAGCAAACACAATGACTCATCTCATGACCATCTTGCTCCGCAAGTTGAAATCTAAGAGAGCTGCAAGCCGCTGCAAGTCAAACCCTCCGCCTCATCCGATGCCAGAACCCACGAGCCCTACCGCACCTCTAACCGCGCTCCGTAGGAGCTGGTGTGGACCGTGTTCTGCCGCACCGTGGTCCCACGCGAGGTGAGCAGCACCAGCACCGAGCTTCGGATGTACTCGGCCGGCAGATTGTATCGAGTGGCCAAGTCGCTGACAGCCATGGAGCCACTCTCCTGGAGGTCAATGGAGGTCAATATCAATAGAGTATTCTAGATTATTCTAGAGTTATATAGTTGTCATGGTCTTCCCCGGGCTTAGGACGTGAAATGTCTGGAACATGTCCGCATCAGTTTTTAGGACCCGAGTCAGCCGTCAGACCATGTCAAACCACCATGAACGGACCAGGCATTGCTTCACCCGAAATCAGATGGAGAAGATCTCTCTTGTCTTCCAAACTGCCAATCTAATCTATAGCAGAATCTCGCCGAATCTCATGGAAAACGTCAACCCTGCAATCCCCCTGCAGCCGGATATTTCTTCCTTGCGGCCCCCAGATCCTCGTCGCTGCCCCTCGTGCCGGAAACCGCAAACCGCTCGCAAACCGCTCGGAATCCGCTCGCTCCGCTCGACTCCTCCAGCTGTTCTTCGATCTCTTGGGCCAACGTCTGCAAATATTGTTGGGAAAACCTGGGGCGGCCATCGGAACCGAGGCCGACTCTGGGAAGGCCCGAACGAACACCAACACCAACCTGGGTGTTTTTTTTCGGCGTACCGGGGTGAGTCGGGTGAGAACGTGTTCCGGTTCCAACACGTTCCAACCAAAAAGAACCGAGACTGGTGTCGCTCGGTGTCCATCGGAAGTTCTGGTGTCACTTTTTGGTCTGTTCCAACGCGTTGGGATTGCACCAAACAGCCATAGATCAGCTACCAAAAGGAATACTGCTGAGCTGCAGGTCGTTGTTCAACTTGTGCAGCGAGCCATCCCGCTTGCGCAAGGCCTGGAAGACTGTGGGTCATTTGGAAGATCTAGTTCAGGTCTAGCTCAGTGCCTAAGCATCTTGTTTGCTAACAGCATGAGAGTCATGTCAGTCAGTCATGTCTCAAAAGCTTCTGGTCATGGTCCCTATGCCGAACTCCTGGCCTTCGGACAGCGGCTCTTGGCCGGCAACGGACTCTCTGTCTGTTTTCAGATGTGCTGGCCCCAGCATGCTCCCAACCATCTAGTCATCTCCTGTCACCGCCACCGGCGTCATACTGCCACGCCTCCACACGAGCTTCGATATGCTCCAAGCTAATGCCCACCTCATTGGGCAGCTCAGTCACGGAGATTCGGCCACCGCAAGCCTGGCACGGTACCGTGACACGGTACTCCATGTCGGTACTCATCCACGTGTCCGTTCCAATCCTTGAATCAGTCAACAGAGCATGACATCACACCAGTTGGAGGTCAAACAAAAAAAGAGAATCCAAAACAACTCCCAAGTCTCATTCTGCTGGGAGAGCCTAGATCAGGCCCACATCAACCAACGATCAAGATCTACGGCAGCCTCCAGGCAGTCGCGGATCTCCTCGGTGCGAAGCACAGTGCGATACGCACTCAGTAAAGAACGAATGGGCAAACCAACCGAACGAAACCAGGTTGCTAACCCATGCAAACCCAACCAGCCCATTCGGCCCTGAAGGCTCACCATGCCATCCACTTTCGAGCTTCTCCCAAGCTGTGACTCCATAGTAGGCCATTCTGTGCAAGACAATCCCTCCTTCATATTCGGTGTTCTGCAACATTCAATTCAAGTTACGCTTTGGCAAACCGACAGCTGCTCAATATGCACCTTTCACCCACCGGTGCCAGGTCTCATGGTCCAGCTGCTCTGGGGTCAGGTACTCCTCGTCGTCGGCTCTTCGCACAGCAAAGGTAGGTCGAAATAGGCGGTTTTTGGTGAAAGCTCGAGGCCCTGCCTGCTTACTTAAGTAGGCGCCTACCTGATCAAGTAAGGGAGAAACTTGTACGCTCCTAGCAATACTTAAGCTTCTAGTAACTGGACGCAGCTCACGCTTCTTCAAGGAAGCTCCGCCCCGCCTTCAGGTGCGGGGGAGCTTCCTTGAAGAAGCGCTCGCGCGAATCATTTGGTTCCTAGATTTTAGGGAAACTAATAGCGATGGCCTCCAACCTACCAGCGATGGCCTCCACCCTGAGAGCGATGGCCTCCAACCTATATAATAGGAACGGACTCCAACCTAGAAGCGAATTGGTTCCTAGATGTTTGGGAAACTAAACATGTCTGTTTATTCATTAATTTTTCCCTTAAAGGGATTTAGTTTGTCGCTGAAGGAGTACGCTTATTGATTGATCCATTGTCTTCGCGTCTGCAACCATCATTAGCAACATGTTCTTGATAGTGTGTGTTCACGACCATGGAAAAGGACACGCGTGCAGCATTGTGCTGCATGTCCTCTGCGACAAAGGAAATTGACATGTGCAAACAAACATCTCCTGCCTCATGATCTCATGTGCAATACATCATACATCAACAGACTATAGTCATGGAGACTTTTCTCTCACCATTCCCATCTTTGGGGTCGTGAAGTACTTTGGGGTCGTTGGTTTTCCCATCTTTCCCCATGTCATGTCCCCAACCCACCGCGCTAGACCTCACGTCTTTTCCTCACCCATGCCGGGTGCACGGGGCCCCTAGTAGCTTTCTTGCTCCTAGTAGCGATGCCAGGAGCCCCTAGTTGCTTCTTGCTCCTAGTAGCGATGCCCTTGTTACTGGTGCGTCCTTCCCGTTGGAGGTGTGGAAGAGCTTCACCTGATTGGTTAAGATCAGCTTCTGCACCAGATCGATGCCTGGGCGAATCGGGAAGCGAACAGAATGCGGCCGCGAAGGGCAGCGAAAGAATGCGGCCGTAAGGCGGGGGAAGCAGGAAGAAACCAAATGAGAGAGAGGTGTATAGAGAGTAGAGAATGGTAGAGATCTGAGAGAGATCTCATGAGATCTCAAGAATTCTTAAGACAGTTGATCATAATTGATCCGTTTTTTTTGGGGGGGGGTTTTATATTGGGATGCAATTGGCATGTCCTTGCAGCTCCGTACCCTCTGTGCGGGACCGTGTCCTTCTCCCATCCCCGCTGGTCCCGTCAAGAGGTCTGGGATCCGGTGCAATTGCGTTCCGAGATCTTCCGCACGTTGGAGGCCCTCTGAGCCTGACGGCAAACCCCCCTCACAGGGCAGGCGGACTGAACTTGTTGGAACGATGCGAGGAACTGGACATGCGAGCTAAGCTGCGAGCTGGGACCAGAACTTGTGAAGTTGGTGCCAGAAGTTCTCATGGACGGTGGTCATGTTCTCTTTTACCGTGCCAGACTGCCAAACCAGTCAAAGCGTCTTAAAACACTGTGTTGGCAGACCTTTTGAAAAAGGATATTGAAAGGAGGAGGGAAAGGATACTGCAACCCATTGTTTCATATTCCAAATCACCACACACGGACGTGGGCCTGTTGTTGTGTTTTTTTTTTTTCTGAAGACCGCGAACCTTGATTGGACCCCGAAAAACAAACCAATGCCCATGGTCAATGCCTCCAAAATGTAAACCTACCACGGTTTGGAGGGTACTGCGCTTGCAGACACGGTCAATCCAACGCCGCCCCGTTACCGCCCCTTGGTCTGAGACCGGGTACAGAAGGGGTTTGTACACTACACGGTACGGTCGGATTTTAGAACGCAAACATCACAGGATATCACAGGCATAACCTCTCTTGGACTGTTCTTAGACAAACTAACCAATCCTCCATCAGCTGCTGCTGCAACGCGCGCACCTCTTCCATGGCGACTCGTTGCTCGCTGTGGAGCAGAGGTGTGCAAAGGTATGGTTTTTGGTCCCGCTTTGGTGGACAAGAGATCCAGAACAATACCTGGGGAACGAGTGACCCAGTAGTATCCGGTAGTCACTCTTGGTACACCTGGATACTGGATAGTGCAGCGTGACCTTACTTCTAAGATACCTGAATACTGGGTGAAAAAAACGCGTGAGAAAAGGCTCATTCTGTTGCGCTGAGATTGTGCAAAACCAACACAACGTGCCGTGTCGGTGATCACATCTAGACACGGCGTTCAAACCCATATGTCGATGGCTCGTGCATGAGAAATCCACATGACGCACTGCGGAGTGGGCTGGTGACTAGTGAAGAGTGTGCATTGGCAACATAAGTTGATATTTGTAAGTCATAGGCTCTCAAACAAACGGCTCTCAACTGGCATTGGTGTGCTTTTTGGGTCCCTCTTGCAGAGTAAAGGGGCAAAAAAAATGGTTTGTTTCTGATGTGTCTGATCTGTGCAAAGGTCTTTCAGGCTTGAAAGCTTAAATGAATGCGAAAGTTGGGGGCTTACCGGCTTACCATCTACCATGCAAAGCGGCAGTACTTGATCTGTCACAAGGCCAAAGCTACCTGACCTAGACGGCTGTCCACCCATTTACGATTCACAATGATTTGCTCTTGACAACGCTGAAGTCAAAGCACATGCATGTGAGATTGCCGGCCTTCCGCAAAAAAATACCGCATTTTGCCGGCTCAGGTACTGCGTCACGGCCTCCAAACGGGGATGCAACCAAGATTGAAAACAGGCCAGCTGGTCCTTAGCTGTGGACAAAAGGATCTTGTCACTTGACAAAAAGGGCGACCCTCTTGCAGTGGCCTGATTCAAGCTAGAAAGACTTCAGGAAGGCGGAAACGAAATGACAGCAAACACCTGCTAAACGAACGTGCTGTGCCCAGGGGCTGGCTCTGGCTCGGCTTCCTTTGGCTCCTCTCCAGGCTCTGGTGTCTCGTTGTCGACATGCCTGAGGATGCCATTTTCACAAGAAGGACTTCTTGCTACTTTGATAAAAGCGCTTACCAGCAAGGCCCTTAACTACACTTTCAGTGATAAACTCCATGGCTTAACGTGTCTTGTATCACTAATTCTCCAACGAGGGTCAGCCACAAGAGCACACAAAACTTCATGTTTTGCAGCTTGCCTCCCAGTTACGGCATATCCATGACACAGGTTGCATAACTTTGTACTTCAAACAAAAATTCTGCACACGCATGTGCAGGAAATAGAAGAATAAGATTCAACCTGTGGGAATATTGACTCATTCGGCTCATCTGCACTGCACTCCATCTTTGCTGAATGGATCTCATTTCACAGCTTGGCTCAAAAAGCACATGCCAACAGGCCAAAACCGCAGCGCGTCGGGTGTGGTGGGTGTGTTTTGTTTTTTGTCATGCTTTTTTGCTCCCACATCGAGGGAGTGGAATAGAACGGTCAGGTTTCTTGTTTCATTTCTATATCCCAAAAGGATCCAAAAGATATAGAGGGCTTGATGTATCCCCTCAAAATCATTCCAAATCTCTACCGAGGTACCCAAAACATCCCAAAACTAGATCTTGTGTTTCAGACCTCCGCTCGACCCATGCTCGACCCGCATGCTGCCCGGTCGCGTCGCTCGACCTGGTCGGTGCGCGTCTCGGAGCTGCAGATGAGCTGAGTCCGCCAGAAAGTCCCAGAGCTGTGCTCCGGTCTCCAGGTCTGCAGGTGAGCTTTGCATCTGAGCACGGAGGAAAATCCACCCCAGGGTGCATCAATGGCCAGGTAATGAGGGAAGGAAGTTTCTTCCCTACCACCGTGGAGTCGTCCCTGAAATTTTTGTTTCAACAAACATGAGCAGACCATGAAGGGGCGACTCGACGACTCTTCAGTCTCTTCAGTTCTGGCAGGGTGAAGACCGTACCTACCGGTATCATGGTTATAGGATGTTATAGGTCCTGGGTCACCTGTTTCAAAACTATCCGCAACATTGTCCAAAGCTCTGATGTTAAACACCGGTGTGAATTTGGAAGAATCTTGTGTTCAGGCAACCTGTGTGGGAATCTCTTGTCAACTCCGCATCACTCCGCCACAGGTTCCTACAGTACATGTTGCTAGTTGTACACCTAACAGGCACCTGGCAAGTTCGATGCAGATTCGGGAACACTAGAGGCGACTCTAAATGGTCTGTTGATCATTCAAAACACCTAAAAACCTTCATATACCTGCTGATGATGAATGCAAATCCGTTGCATCCGCCGTTCTCCAAACAAAACAACAAAACAAACGTGTGCGAATGGCGTAAATAGCATCGAATTGAATGTCGTGCGACTCGGGCCTCAGGTTCCTTCCGCAAGCCCAGCACCACCTCGACCACGTCCACATCGAGAACTACCTGGACATTCCAAGGCAAAATGATGCAAAATGTGAAGCTTGAACCACTGGCAACAGCTTTCTATGCAAGTTTTCCAAAGGAACCGGTCTTAGAGGAGCCAGAGCGTCCACTTCTGGGTTCATTTCAAGCTCAAAAGAAGCAAGCTGCCATCTATGGTCGAGCCGCCATGAACGCGATCTCATTCGACGCCGCTCGGCGAAGCGTCCACTGGGCTTTGCAGTCAGTTTTGGACAAACCCTTTCGAAGACCTTCAAAAATCGATGCATCAACAAGAAGTCTCTGTGCTCCGAACAAAGCCTCATGCAGTGCTTCGGGGCGCAGCATCTCGCCCAAGCCTGCCAAGCTGCTGTTCGCGCTACTTTGGCTGCTGCCCTCTCCGAGTGTCTGGGAGCGCAAAGAAACGAACAGCTCTTTTCGCGGCTGAACAAGCAAGGATATCTCCCAAGGGAAGCTCAGGGTAACACCTCGTTTGGGATTGTTCGACACACGCACCAGCGCGCGCGGCATCATGTCGGCAACTGTTTCAGGTCGAGCCAATTCCACAGCATGGTGTCCAAGTGAAGAATGAATGGGCCAGCGATGGCCCAAGAAACCAATTGCAGCTTCCATTTGTGCCAACAACTCCGGTAAGGCAGGTGTCAAACGATTTCGTGCCTCCAATATCCCTTCAATTCTCCCAGGAACAGCGTTCATCGTCTCCTCCAAGCTGCGTGAGACTTGATCCCAATCCATCTTTTTGGGTGTGAAGGGATGAAGCTGTAGAAATCGAACCTGTTGATCCCCCCAAGGATCTCCCAGGAGTGATGCCACTTGGCTAGCCTTCTGAGCACCTTCCAAAGCCATCTCTTGTAACTCACGCAACATCCGTACACGGTCCGACGTCGCCTCGACTTCAGAACCTTTCTGTCGCTTGGACTGCACCACCTCTTCCCGCAAGAAATGGCCAATGCTTCGTTTTGCAGGTGGATCTAGCTCACCTCGAACGGCCTCTGTTTTTCCAGAACTTTGATCAAATTTTAGCACCACTGGCGCATCATGTTGCTCCAAAGTCACCCGTGGCGCTGTAGCCATGGCCCGAGGAACGCAGAACAAGGCGACATGGGCAATGGTACGATGATACGGCTTGGCCAAGGTCCGTGCTTCAACCGCTTCAGCAGTCCTTCCATGAAATCGACAGATTACTGTACTGATGATTATTGTAGATACAGTCTTGTATATTGTATTGATTAGCAAGAGTGGCTTGGAGACTCTCTCCCCCAAGCTGCCGGTGGAAATGAAGAAGTGGAAACCACAAATCATCACAAATCCATCCTTTTCTCACTCGGTGTCCCACCAGTTGAAGCTTCTCATTCTGCACTACCCCGTTGTTTTTGCTGAGGCGAATCAAGGCGGCCCTTTTTGCATCAGCTCATTGGGAATCGGGGCCGCGTTCAACTGCGTTTCTGTGGTCTCGCTGTGGCCACTGGACGAGCCTCCACTGGTAGCGGAGGTTTCTACACGAGCCCCGCGTTTTGGAAGACGACCATAGGTCGGGGTGAGTTCATGGGGTGATGTGTCATGTGTGGGGGATGACAGGCCCCTTTTGAGCTGGGCCCGTTTGATCTCTGGTGACGTCGCTCTGCGAGGATCACCCTGAATTCTGTGGCGGGAAAGATCCTGCGACTTAACTGCACTGCGCGCTTCTGAGATTCAACTGTAAGTAAGGCATCCTATTTCGCTGTGATTCAGTGATTCGCAAGTTGATACTGGGCCCTCACCACTGCGTAGTAAAGCTTTGCTCCGCTCTGCTCCTCCGTGCTTCCTGCCACCGGTCTGTACATCTTCAAAGGGTGGCTGCACTTTGGCCATCATGCACTGGCCCCCTTTGGGCCGATCGGATGCCCCAAACGCTCCTTCAGCTCACTCCATGGCCTCACAGACGAGTCCAGCGGCCGTGAGAACCAAACGAGTCCATCGGCCACGTCAGTCCGGCGCAGTTTAAAGAGGCCTGTGAGAAGCGCCGCGCAACTTGACATTCTTCGTGTTGTCAAGCGCAATCAGCTCTTCTTCACTGTGCCTTTACCAGAGATACTGACCTGACGGCCGACAAAGTGGCTCTCACATGCAATGAAGGAATTGATATTAATATGTGGAACAAGATCATGAAGGATGATGCGCAAAGACTCGCAAGGCATCTGAAAGCAAGCACCAAAGCTCCTTTGTCCTCGTCACGGAAGAAGCTCCTGGCCTCGAGGATCTTCTGCTACCCGAAGGGTCTGAATGCACTGTTTTACCTTGGAACTGGTGAATTGCAAGGCAACAATTGGGCAAGGATGTGGGTGTGAAGATGGAGATCTCCTAAAGAGGAAGATAGACCAAAACCCCCTGGTCACCGGGGTCTCTCTGTTTAAATACACACCATCACCCATGTACGTCTGGCGGTGCTCATGACACTCCGGGACAACTCCCGCCTTCACTGTCCTTCTCATCTGGAAGCCCTTGTTGACGTTGCTGGTACTTTTTGGCACACTGGCAGGCGGCCGTGTTTGGCGACCCACATCAGCGGCCAACAACAGAACATCGTCCCCATGCCATTCTGTTTCAAGCGGGTGGGTGCGTTCCATGTCTTGATTTCTCATCTCTCCTACAGTTGTTTTGTGCCGATGGCGTCTTTTTCTGGAACCTTCGGTGTTCAACGAGGATGGCTCGCGCTACCCTGTGAAGACCACGGGGATCGGTCTTGGGTTCTTGAGTTCTTGGGGACAAAAACAAAAGCTGATCAAACGCACAGGGGGAACTGGCACAAATCGATGTGTATTCTATTACTGTACGATTTATTGTGCATGTTGCCTAGCAATCGGTGTTTCTTGATGTTTTTGTGTTTTTTCTACCCTGTTATATGTTGTTGATGGTTGTTGTACATGTTATTCTTCCGAAGGACTCCAGCAGCCGCAGAATCTACAAGTACAGCTATTGTGGTTGTGGCTCAGCATTCCCAAATCGAAAATTAGACCAAACACTGCGAAAACACCAGGCCGAGGTCAGGTGGTTTTGGATTTATCGGCGCGCCACATCTCATACATCCTCGCACTGCCGCATGTCCGCCGATGTCGATCCGAAAATGGCTTCCGGCTTCCGGCTCCCCGCGACCCCTCGGCGGAGGAGGCCTTTTCCATCACTTGCCGCTCCTTCGCGGTATCTCGCGCCTCCTGGGGAGGTCGACGAGTCGAAAAGTCGAATGGAAAACCATGGAAAACCGAGGAGTTGGATTGATTTGGTGGCATGGGCAATTGCTATCAATTAGTCCGCTATCAGCATGGTCATGCCTATGTCGCCGACTCCCACCCTTGTACTATGCAATACTTTGCAATGCTAGATTACAACATGTTCCAAAGCAATGCTTCAGTGCCCGGCTAGCAAAACCTGCTCTGGATTTTCATATCACGCCAGTGCAACTGGCATTTCTTCACATTACGCAGACCCAACAAAATGAGACTCTCCGCTGGGACCGGAGACAGGATCTTCAGGGATCAAAATGCGACTGGGTGAGTAGTGTATCCGAAGTCTGTCTAGGTGTCTCAATAGATCATCATAGATCTCCATATAGTACTCAGCATTACCTGAGACGCTTTTGAGAACCGGGATGGGCACGAACCTGAGACGCTTTCTTCGCATCTTCCCTTTCGGTGCCGAAATCACTCACCACCGAACGGGCTGGGCCATGCCGGCCCCGTTTCGTTTGGGGCTGGTCCGTCGGTCCTGCTTTCGCTCTTGGAGCCTCCCCACTTGTTCATTCCAGCCGTCCAATTCGGCATTGGAGACATTGACCATTTGCTTTAACATGATCGCCTGGTGGGTTTTGCACGGTGCTGCACCACGGCTGAAAAAAGTGGCAGTCCTGCAAAACTGGCTTAGTTTTTCATCTCCTAGTGGGAAGGTAAGTAGAGATAAAAGTCAGACATATCCATCTATTAGCAGCTTGTTATAACAATGAAGTAGCAGTAGGAGTAGGAGTAGGAGTAGGAGTAGTAGTAGTAGTAGTAGTAGTAGTAGGAGTAGGAGTAGGAGTAGGAGGAGCAGGAGCAGGAGCAGGAGCAGGAGCAGCAGCAGCAGCAGGGTCTGTCGTTCCCGGCTGTGCTTTGGACATGGCTGTGTGTAGTCTGTGAGAGAAGTTTTCTTGGCAAAAACGTTGTTCCTCTTCACCATGCAATGCAAAGTGCATTTATATAAATGGTCAGTTCCGCCGTAAGTGACAATCATTATTTTGCACGTCTGTCTATAAAATTAGGGGGCAACCTAACCATAATAATACATACCGATGTACATGATGTACATAAAACCGATTTATAGAGGTATCAACCCTCCCGATTATATATTGGGCCTTGCCTTGATAGTAGTACCATGTCGGTCCTTTTATGGTCCTTTCATCTAGACACATCCATGCACATCCATCGTCTGTCACGAAGCTCGTGAAGCTGTCACCTGCCATGAGCTCCCATGACCGGCCTGTTGAGAAAGAAGTCTCACCGTGGCCACGCAGTGCTTCGTGTCAGCCTCGATCTCCGCGTCCTGGACATCGGGTGTGGCTGATCAGGTGAAACAGGGATGGTGCAAAGGACTTTGAAGACAAGGCGAAGACACAAAAACACATATTGGGTGGGTATGCTAATGAGGAGAACCCCATCCAATGGGTTTTGGTATGTTTTGGTCTATTTCCTTCCAGGGGGTCGTTGTGTGGGAGGTTTGCCTAGGGAAAAAACACACCCATCAAACTTGTCCAAACATGTCCAAACAATCTCCGTCTGAGTCACATGGGCCGTCTCATTTTTGGATGTTTTTGGCAGCTCAAAACAACACGAGCTGGAGAGGATCGGAGCCTTCGGGAGCCTGTCTGGCGGATGCATAGAAGCGACTTGCATTGCCGGACGCCTTCGAATTCTGGGTTGACCCACGTGTGATAATGTTGCGACTTGCAGCTGGTTGCCATCAGAAACGGTGGAAGAAGCCAGCTCCCGTGGTCGAAGGAGTCCTCTTCTGCATTTTTCTCAAGCTGCTCATGTAACGACTTCTCCTGATCACAGTTCTTGGGAAGAAAAGATGGAAGGTCACGAGGGCGATGGCTGGTCAGCAAGGTCCAGGCCTTCTCGTGCTCCTCCACTAGGGAACACTTCCTCGGATTGGCTGATTCAAACATCAAGTCCAACAACTACACGGTTCCAGGCGCTGAATTCGAGACACGCTGCAGTGTATGAATCGCCATCCTCAGGTCTTTGAGCAAACCTCGATGATCCTCGCCGTTGGACTCCTGTGCCCACACACGCTCCGCACACGCTCTGCACACAAGTCGCTCTGCGCGAACGTGCTCCTCTTTGGAAGGCCAGGGAGAGCAATTCGATTCAATTCATGTTGCTAGGGGCACCAAAAATAGCTGCTGGATGTTGGCTACCGACAATTGAGTGTACAGCTGTTGGTAATTGCTAGCCACAGGGCTATGGGGCAGCAACGAAAATTTTTCTGGGCCCTGCAGTGCAGCCTTGGGAAGGGATGCAGTAGAATCAAGTGAGTCTGCCACCACTCACTTAAGATGACCCTTGCTTATGGGTATGGCTCAACACCGGAATCCTCCTTGAAAGGAGCTGCTTGTTCACTCCTGTAACTTGTCCTTCAGCTTCTGGTTAAGCTCACGGGCCTAGCAAGTCAAACGTGATCCTGACAAGGGGAGTCAAACTTGCTAGAGAAACGGAACGGCCTGTTGCAGCTGTTGCTTGAGCTTTGCCTTAGCTGAACAACTTGGGGTACGTACCAATACCACGTCCATCCAAAAAGAGTATTTGTATCCTCAGGATGGGACTTCTTCCCGAGCAGACTCCTCTTTGGCCTGCTTGACTTTCGCTTCTTCTTTGCGGCGCTGCTGTTCCTTGGCTTCTGCCTCCTTCTTCTGCTTGTTGAGTGCCTGTTTCAGCTTCCGCACCTTGGAGGGCATGTTCCTTTCTGCCTCTCTCTCTCTCTCTCTCTGGGTTTCTATTATCATGAAACATATGTTGACACTTATGTAACTTATGAATTGTATATTAATACACACGTAATATAATGCTATATATATATATGTTAGCTTTGAGTCCTGTCTGTCCCTTGGGCAAAACCATGTTGCTCCGCTTCGACTTGTCCAAAGATCACAACAGGCCCTTTCCTTGCCCTAGCATGCTCTAATGATGTCTATGGCCCACTGCGATGGCCCTTTGTTTCCACTGCCACGCTCGATTCGGAAAAGCAAGTGCCTGTTGTTGATGTGCTTGATTCTGCTGATGATTGAATGCCTTCTCTTGCTTGAGCTGAGCCTTCAAGTTGGCAAGCCTCAGAAAAAACATGAAATAATTGTTCCCCTCCTCCACCCTCCCTCTCGCGCTTGCATGACTTGCATGACACTTCTGTCTTGGTCACCGGCTCTTCATTCAGTTGCTGCTCCTCCAGAGCAATTCCTCGGAGTCGCCCCTGCAGCGCCTCCGCCTGTGACAGTGGAGGAAGCGGTTTCCCTGCGTGGGCTCTTGCACGTGGCTTAGTACGTAGAAATCCAGCACTCCAAAGCCGAAGTTGCTTCTGGAAAATGAGTGGAGCAAGTAGGAGCAAGAAGCTACTAGTAGCTCCTGGCATTACTACCAGTAACAAGAAGCTACATGAAGCTACTAGTAACTAGTAACAAAGGGCATCCTCACAGATTGCTCAACTGGGACTCCTTCTCGTCGGAGACTTCGAGCCCCTCTTGAGAAATCTCAGCCTGAGACATGCAGTCAGCGTAGTTCAGCGGATTGTTTTCTAGAGATACAACACACTCTTTCTCTCCCCTTCCCTCCCTCCCTCCCTCCCTCCCTCTCTCCCTCTCTCCTCTCTCTCTCCTCTCTCTCTCTCTCTATCTTTCTCTTGCTCTTTCCAGTTTGCGCAAACCCCGTATCCAATCCAGATGCATCTGGAAAGAAAACATGCTCTTGGATTCTGAACCAGAAAAACAGCGGTTCCTGGCAAAACACTGCCTCCACTTGGCACCACTCTTCCATGTCCTGTCAGGGCTCAAAGAGGGCACCCTGCAGGATTCTTGGGAGAGTTACACTAAGATCAACACTGAAAAGGATATCAGCGTCATCGTGCAGTGTCGGTGCTTCAAATTCGTACTCCCACGAACGAAGCAGCGAAGACTCGTCGAAAAAAAGAGAAAAACATCGATGTCAAGCGGATGATCGTGGCATCGAAAACCCCAAGAATGGACAATCAGTTGTCTCGCCCGGGCAAAACAGCAATCAGTTAGTCTCGCCAGAATCTCTGCAACACAGCGCCACTTCCAAGCAACGGGGGGGAACCTCCTAAGTCGTCGATGGGGGTTCCCCTGCTGAACGGCCAACATGCACCATGGAGCTGATGCCATCTGATGCCCAACACCACACAAATGGACTGATGTGACTGATATCTTCACATGTGACCACCAACGGGCATCCCTTTCACCCATTGATGTCGGCAAAGCTCGTACCTGCATGGTGATGTCGGTGTTCACTTCCACACCTCGGCAGTGATGTCGACACACAGATGAACCGAATGGTACTGTACCCGTGACCTCCCCATGACGGCGACCTGGGAAACCCCTTTCAAAAGCTGATTAGGGTGATGTTGAAGTGGTTTCCTCACACCATCCCATCCCATCCCCATCTTTCATCTTTCTGTTCCTGAAGGCATGTGAAAGGGCCGCCTCCGTTAACAAAACAAAAACGACCTCGACCGCCTCACCGGGGCGGAGATCGTTCGACCGCCGAATAACGACTGGATTCCACCGGCAGCAAGATGGGCCAAGACACATTTTGTCTCCGGCCTTTCTCCGAAGGCATCGACCGCCGACCGGCTGGCCAGGCGAATCCAACTCTCGAGCTCATCGGCCAAGGACAGCGCCTCAGAAACGGTGAGGACCATGTTGGACCGGAATCCTCCAAGAAACGGCCACAGAAACGATGAAGACACATGCACTTGATTATGTATATATATATATATGTTTGTTTCGATATATATATATAATGGTTGTGAAGAATTCCTTGAGATGACCAACTTGAAGAATTTCAGTAGAAGTCCCAGCTGTTTTTATAGCGGTCGTGGGAGTTCCCTCCGTTCCGGAGGGTCTGGTTGAGTACGCCGTTTCGGACAGTCAAGCCAAGGTCTTCAAGGTCTTGGAAGAACATGAGCCTGTCTGACTTTTTGGTCTCTCTTCAGACGAGATACACGGCCTGACGCCGTTGGCATTGCGGCTAAGAGAAGAATACTTAAAAGATCTTAAGAGATTGAAAGGACATGGACTTGGGATAAGCTGCAGTGGTAATTGATGTGGAATATCCTGGACTTTTCTGGACACCAGCAAAGAGGAGTACAACCACACAGTTGCATGTTTGTTGAAGTAGTGACCGGTGCTGACCCTCGCTGAACAGCTGAGACACATGTTGACCTGTGCACGCGGCCCGAATTGGTTCGAGCCTTCAATGATCAAGCATGTTCCAATGGTGCTGTGTGCCACATGGCACTGATTCACTTCAGCCGGCTGCGCCGGCTGCGGATTCCGGTCGTTTTCGCCGTGGCACCTGCTCACAGCACCGAGACCGAGTGGGGACTTTGGAACCCTTTCCGCTGCGGAAACCACTCCCTTTTGCACACAGCTACCAGTCCATTGTCACGTCCTGAGAGATCGATGATCGAAGTTCGATGATGTTTGTGACCTCTCTGGAGCTGAAGAGTCGTGAAGCACCGCTACAAAGAAGTGAGGTCTTTTGGCTTTGGGGTATCTCTATCTGACAGTGTCTGACAGTCTACTGTACAAGACTATCAAGACTGGACATACACAGCTACTGCCATCCACTTGAGTTTCGTTCGACGTCTCTGTAATCTTGGATAATCTTAGATTTGTCAAACAACCTCAAACAAATAAACACTACACTCGTGCCCCCTCAAAGAACTGTGCTTTGGTCGAACATAGCCGCCGCTCCTCTGAGGCGGCCGACACCTCCTCACGCTGCAGCCACCTCACATCCAACACGTCATGGGATGTGATTTTCGACCAACGACGCGAGTGGATAAGGTGGTGACCACCCAGCATCCAAACTGGGCCTCTCAAGAATGCGCCTCTCAAGGGTCTTACCGGTATGTGTGTATATAATATAACATAATACAATATAACATAGTATAATAATATATAATATCACCTACAGTATATTCATCTATCAGATCATGTTCTATCAAAATCTCTCTCTCTCTCTCTCCCTCCCCTCTCCCTGTCTCTACTCGATCTTCGGGGATCCTCTGGGCTTGATGGCAAAGCTAGCCTCCAGAAGAATGACTACGCTCCAAGGTGTTTGTTGGTGAATCCCAAAAGCTTCACCCCCGCCTGGTGAGGTATTCGCACTTCTCAGGACAAACACGCCCACCAGCCTTGCGTGTTTGAGCAGACCAAGGGCAAGAACCAAGGAATGGTACTGTCACATAACAAACGCCGCACGCCTGATGGACTACGACAGCAACATTTGAAGAATCAATGTTCAGCTATACTCGTACTAGCTACGACATGCTGCTCCAGGGTTCCTGCAACTGTTGAATCCTACTGCTACTACTCTTGACTCCTGACTTCCCCACTTACTGCAACTTGTGCACTCTACCAACTAAAACCTATAACCTACTTAACTTCATCTTAATTCACATCCGGAATCTGCATCTGAACCTTACAGAAAGCAATTGAAGCAAAACACTGTTGTTACATTACCCACCCTACCCCATGCCCAGCTGGGGCTGCTGGAATCATTGGGGGTCATCGGATATTTCTCATATGCCATGATATGATTGCAAGATGAGTCTCCTGACATCGTCGGGTAAAGCAATTTCACAACATATTTGACTGCCATGCTGACCACATCTGACCATGCTGCCGTAGAAAAACAAACACCGTTCAAACAACCATCGGCAGCTCCGTTTTTTGCCTGCAAACCATAAGCTGCACAGGATGAAATCACTGGGCAACACCATGAGCTCAGTCAGTCACTTCAAAACGACCAAATAAAATTATAGCATGCGATATTATATGATCATGTACGGTATCCAAACTACAAAATAGAAACGGTGTGCCGACGGTGTGCAAATGTGTGTACCATTGTACGAGCACAAATAAACGATGTTCAATACATGTTCGGTTCGGACGGGATTTACTTATCCATCGATTATACTATTCTGCGGGGGGTCACTCCAGTGCATCTTCCACAAGCCACGTTTGTTTTCCGTTGCAGCTCGCATTCAGATCACGTTCAACGTCGCAGAACAGAAGAAGTAACTGAACAATTGCAGAGGTGTCCCTTCCAAAGCTCCGTTTCGATCCAAAACGGCTCGGTTTCCGCCGTTTGGCCGCTGCGGAAAGGGGCGCCTTGCATTCATTCCGCAGGGGACAGCACAGGCACGGGACGACCATGCTTCCCTCCATCTCGCCAGCCGGTTGAAGGAAGCGGGGCAAGCGCGCCGCAAAGATGTCGAAAGGCCTTTGGAAGTGACCTCAGGCTTAAACCCCAGCAGATGTCGGGCGGACAAGAAGCAAGTCTGCCCGCCCCACCTGGGTGAAAGGGACAGGGAAAAGGAAAAAGGCAACAGGAGCGAAAAAGATCTGCTGAAAAAGATTTCGTTCGAATCCCTCAGAATCCGGAAGCCCGTGGATGTTTAATGTTTGAGGCCTTCAAGCATGTGTGTCCAAAACGTCTGGAAGTCTACTGGTCGAATCGTCCAAACGCTGAAGAACGGTAAGAACCCATCCCGTCTTCTCACCCAGTTCTCACATCAGTGCGCCTGCGCGTCTCTTCACAAAGACTTTCTGCCCGGAAGCAGTTCGGACTGAAGTGACATCTTCGTCCAGCTCCAAGGTCTTCATGATGGAAAGAATATCTTCCTTGGCAGTTCGAAATCCGCTCACCGTCGTGACCATCGGGACCGGGAACCACCCACTCTGTCGGATGCTCACTCCTTCCACTGACGGTTCGGACGGTTCAGAGCTGGACAACCGTTTTCACACCGCCGGCAAGAACGCCGCTACTGCTCAAGCGGCTGCAAACCGTTCCGGACAACGAACACCAACTAGGTCATGTGATTCTGTGATTCAACTCTCAGAACCCCCTCATCCGGCTGATCGACATCAGCTCTCTCCACGACACCTCGGTTGGAATTTGAGGTCCCGGATGTTGCATGACCTCATCAATGGCGCCACGTGGTCCATAGGAAGGCTGGAGTCCCCCCCTACCCCCAAAAGTTGGGGTACAAACGTGGCGGGGAAGGACCGCGCATCATCCGATGCATGCGAGTCTGCGTCATGCCGAGTGCTGCTGGCTCTTGTTGTGGGTAGGGGGGTGGGGCCAAGTGGGAACGTTTGTTGTGAGTGCCAACGACAAAATGTTGCGTGGGTGAAGTGGCATAGAGTTGTGGTGGGTGGGTGTTATTGCCTCGGGGAAAATTTGGTCCGTGAAAACATGGGTACACGATGGTACATGGAGAAATCGTAGGTTGACCACGCAGGGCCGCAGGGCCACAGAAAACCTCTGTAAAGTACAGTGTTTCCAGCCTCTAGACTATATGATATGTCCTTGAGTCCTCGCAAAAAAAAACTGCAAAATGTGGTTTGGTGACCAACCCACTTAGACACAAAGTTCAAAACCCCCATGGTCACCATGTTTTGCCCAGTACGTTGAGACTGTCAGTTCCTTGTCAGCTGTTGGTATAGCTCGGCATGGTTGCAAGCCCTTGGTGTAGGGTCACAATCTGTGCACCCAAAGTAGTTTGACGCATGTGTCAAGCTATTGCGGCCCATGTTCGACCTGCACACACAACTATATACAAAATCATACAAAAGTCAAACAACCATGCCCCGGTTTAATTAGTTGCCGCTGGAGCAACCTGCGAGGTCTGGCAAGTGTCAGTCTACCCAAGAGTTGTTCAAGTATGCATCTGGATTTCTGGAGCCCATTGAAAATAAAGGGTTTCCCTGAAACAGTCATGGAAGCGGAGTTCACCAGTTGTTTGGTCTTCGGAAAATCCTCCCTTCGGGGCCATGCCATCCACTTCCATGATTCTTTCGGAGTGTCACATCCTCTTTAAAAATCTCTTGAACTTGAACCCTACAAGAAAAAGGGACCAAGGCCATCGCCAACGTCGCCCTCGCAGCACACCGACGTCACCAACCACCGCGTCATTAGCGGGCTATTAGGTCTCCCGACGTAGCGATGTAGGTCGGCTTGGGTGGCCGGCCGCGGGTGTTGGGCCAAGAAGGCCAGGCAGTGTTCCCGCAGGGTTTCCTGAGATGCAACGAGATGGAGCAACGAAACAAGGATGGCCCCGGGCACCTTCGAGTCCCAGTTAGTGAAAGGAAAACCCTCATCCATGGCAGAGGAGCCATGGAGTATCCATGTCCGTTGCAAACGCGGTTTGCATGCACTGACAATACATGAAAAGATACCTTTCAGCCATATTTCAGCCTAGAGTCTACATAGCTGCTGTTGAACTCGCCATCTTTGTACCAGGTACCTGCAACGGGGCGGTAGAGACCTGCAGTACATAGCTGTGTCACGTGTGATTCAAATTGATCTATCAAGAGTTACAGCGAACCCCCGTTCACTGAGCACATCTCATGGGCCCACAAGAGATGCAGCCACACCAAGAAATGATGTTAATTAGACACCTAATTCTAATTAAATTCTATAGCTTCTTATTGTTTCTAATAGCTTTTTGTTACTACTAGTAAGGCACTTGTTCCTAGTAGCGTGGCACTTGTTCCTAATAGCTTCAGGCAGTTACTCGCAAAACATGTCGCAATCGCATGGTTCACAGCCATACCCTGCGCCGACCGGTCCGGACATGCTTGGTGCAAGGCGGCAAGGCACAGGCCAGAAACTTTTTTTTCAGGCTCTTCTTAATGCAGCTGCATGTATTCTGTCATCATCTGTCATCGTCATTGTGCTCATCAAAGTTGTGATGTCGAAGAATTTGCTCAAACTTTTTGGTGTGATGCAGCCAGTTTTGTCTAGGTTTCCCGACTCGTTTCGTACCACAATCTATTCTAGATTCTAGATGCAGAATTGGGGAGCAATGAGACCTGTCATCCAGTACATGCTGATGTTCTGGATTTCAATAGGTTTCACAAAGAATCCCCAAGTACAAACGCAGCGCATGTCCTACGCATCCTGACTTGAATCTATCCAATCAGAGGCTCTCGGAGGCTGGATCTGTATACCCCCGGCCTCCAGAGACTTCTTTGCTTGGCTCCAAGTCATACAACATGAAGACCTTCCTGTTCCGGTTGTGAACCTCAAAGAAAACACCCTTGCGCGACCAATGGTCCCATCCGGCTCACCGAAGAACCCTTCCAAACACTCGTCCTCATATGTGGGTAAGCCTTGATTGTCGAACAAAACCCCTTGATGGATTTTCATGGGTGAAAGCTTGTTTGGGGGTACTCCATGTTTTTCACATCTTCTGTTCTTCTGAGGGTGAGACTGACTTGACCTCCTTGATGAGTTGCAACTTGATCAGTTCTTTCGTTGCCTCCAGGAAAACCACCGGAAATCGACATGGAGTCTCAAGGAATTGCTCGTCATCATCGATTTCCCGAAAGGCCCAGTCTTCCTGTTACACCCCACATCGCTCTCACCTGCAAATGCAGAATGTCATGAAAGGTTATCGAGAACTTGTCACACTTGGGTTTCACGAGTGATGTGAACTTTCTGAATGGTCAAACTAGCGCATCGTCACAAACAACAAATGCACGTTCGTGTTCCTCACATCTCAGATCTTCCGCAAACCCCGGGTGCCTTGGTGATGGTATGCTGCTGCAATTTCGTCTGATCTTTGAGGCTTTTGCTCCAGGCACCTTTGTCCCCTGCCTTCTCGATCTGTTGATACACTTGCCTCCAACAGTCTGACCAAAGCATGCTGTGTCAGCCAGCGTATGCCGCAGAAAGCGACATCACCGATCACCTTTCAACCAAAAAAGCCCCAGAAACGACACAGCCTCAACTGTCAGTAACTGTGCTCGCCTCATCTGAGGGTCCAAGCGACATAGTTTCTCAGCCAGAATCTTGTCAACCGCTCTGACAATGAGGGGTTGAGCCTGGCTTTGACTGGAAATAGAAATGTTCGGTCCACACTTGTTGCCCTCAGTGAAGCCAGCCGTTGTTGATTCTTCTAAGAACTTGGGGATCGCACCACGTATCCCCACCTAATTTGATCGTGACGTGGTAAGGAAGACCCTCAAGATGTTGCTCGGCTAGGTTTCCTTATGGCTGCCGCAACAGATTCAACACTACAACCTGTGCTCGATGATAACACGATGGGCATACCAGGTACGCTGAGTCTGACCTCACCCAATCAATACACAACCGTCACCGTCACCATCCATCTTTGGTGTTTCAAGTGGCTTTGAGGGGCCATAACGAACAGAACCCGACCATGTGTCAACGAGATGTACCTTTGGTGGTATGTTGAAATAAATAAACATGCAAATAATGCTAGTCATAATGGAGGCATCACAAGCATCAGGAGCCTTGCTGCAAGAATGTTCAGACATGTTCAGACACCCCAACATCATTTGACCCAAGCAGCTTGTTGCATCACCCTGAGAAAGACCCTGTGCCAACCCTCTTGAACACCGACTGATTGGACTGGCAAAGCAAGCAACCCTCCAAAGGCCTCTGGAGTTTGAGTGCTCATCGTCCATGCCAATGTGTGTTTCCTATTTACAACTTCACAATCTTTCGATGGGTGATCCCTGAACCCAAATCAATCCTCAAACACCGAAGCCGTTGCATCCCGCCTGGAGAATCTCCAGGCGGTTCTGGGTCAGCAACTGGTTGGCCTCGAGAATGCTTGAGAGCTCTTTTTGGTGAGTCGGAGTCGAAGCAACAAAAAAATGGCTTTTCAAAGCCAAATTCCATAAAGAAATCCAACAAGTCCCACAACTTCGCTATGCTTTGCAAGTGTCTCCCCCACAAACAGCGTTGCTCGAAAGTACGCTGAGGTGCCATATTGGTACGCAAGGTCTTGTCTGGCCACCCAGCTCGTTCCAGATCCTCCAGAGCGAGCGAGGCCCGGAGCGAGCTCAAACACAGATCCAGTCGGCTCAATATCTTGATATGAAAGAGTGCAATTGAAGAAAAACACACTCTTGTGACTCTTTCATCTGAGCCTACTTTGATCTTTAGCCTACTAACAGCTTCTGGTGACTTTGCCTACTTTGCTGCAAGCGAAGTAGTAAAATGCTCCTCCATTGTCACCTGAGGTCTTTCCGCGATGTAGTTGTACATCTCCTCCAAGTTTTGCACCTGGCCAAACAGCCAACAACGGTCAGTCATCAAACCCAATGACATCCAAAGACTGAGCAACAAAACTCTACTTTGGGGATGTTCACCTCTGGGGGCGCTTGGGTTTTGACCGGAACATCTCGCAGCCTATTGTGCTGCAACATCTGCCACTGCCACCTGCACCAACGCCATGGACGCCATTGACCTTCAGCGACACGCCGGACACCGTGGCAGTCCAGCGACACGCCGGACGCGTCCGTGGGCGCTTAAGGCGGCCAGGCTACATGGCAGAAAGCGAAAGTGCAAAGAGGTTTCATTTGTGGTTCATTGTGGTTCAGAGGTGGCTCTTGGCGTTGCAACCAGACAAGATCAGTCATGAAATGAAAAAGATGTCCAATGTTCAGATTCAAGCTGCTGCGCAGTGCAAAGTGTCACATGTCACGGTTGAAACCGGTTTTTTGGTGGATCTGGACACCCTGCATAGTCTCCTCCAACACACCTGGAAGAATGAAGAGTTTCTGTTTGAGAACCTGACGCCTATGGTATGGCAGAGATGTGTTTTCCGGCTGCATTGTCGATGCAGACCGGCTCATGCCATGTAATGTCAATGGTCTGGAGAGAAATGGCAGCAGGGCCATTGCTTGTATGGCAATGTACCGGGTGCGCAATGCTAGGATGAACAATTTTGAGCAGAAAAACACACTCGTGACTCATAACCACCAAAAACTCATTGAACTTGTTCTAATCGTTTGTATGTCGTGCTGAATAAGGTAGTCCACACAGAATCCCCTCAATTCTTGTGGGTATCATCAGTCAGTGCAAATCTTGTTGTTCAGCATCCAAAAAAACCTATCCCACAGTTCAGTTGCAGCACTCTCCGAGTCAGCCCACATCCGTACTTTGCACTGTGGTTGGACCCGGTGCTTTGCCCAAAAACACCGACCAAATCTCCGTGGGTGTTTGGGCCGGAAAAGTGACCGTTGCAAACCAACCCAACTCATGGGGTGTGTTGGCCTCGTTCTCAACACCCCAAGATCAACAAAAGCTTCCGACTCACAGGTCGGATCTGTTTTTTTCATAACTTTTTTTCTATGGCTGGAGCAATGGGGTAGTGGAGCACAGTGGAGTACACGTGCCCCCACGCGTTTCACCTACATTGGCAGCTGCAAGACTTGTGATGTGCAATGCCAACTTCCAGTTTGGATTGAACAGAATGAACGCGCACGATTGCTGCACCCAAATAACGCTAGGAAGGTCCTCATTGCACATCAACTGTCTGTAATTCAGCCAAGGCCGACATGTGTCAAACTTGGCAATGCTATAGACATCTGCTCACTTTGGCCGCACGAGGCAACAAATATCAACCATGGCAGGCCAAACCTTACACAGCTCAAGCCGTTCTCAAGAGTGAAACTGGCCACTGGCCGACTGACCAAAGCAGCTCGGCTTTCACAGAATCATCACATGAATGGTAGTTTATACTGCCAGGGAGAGCCAAGGAAGTAGGGAGGGAGGGAGGGAGGGAGAGGAGGGGAGAGTCTGGGAGAAGTGAGTCACAAATTACAGCTGCGGCTGCTACAGTCCAGCCGTTCACGGTTACAATGTGTGCGTCTTGAGGGTTTTTTTCTCACCACTGTGGCTCCGGCGAACCCACCGATCGGGTGAAAGGAGTGCCTCCCATTCCGACACTGTCCAAAGTGGCAGAGATTCCCGTCATGAAACGAATGTGAATGCTGTCGGAGAGAAGGCTTGAAGCTTGGTGTGAAGTTTTGGGGTTTTTCAGCGAATCCACCCTCCGAGTTGACGCGAATGTCACCTTTCATGAAAGAAGGGCTGCTGCACCAAATCGCTATCGTGGTCCCAGGCAAATCCGAAAAACATGTTTCACGCACCGTGGTGCCAGCCTAGTCCAGCGGGCGGTCGGGACCTTTGGAGAGTGTTGCTCAGATTGAACAACATCATCAGCAGGGAGACTTTGGAGTACTTCATCCAAAATGGGGACGAATGATGAGATTGAGATGCCCTTGTTGTTGTTTGGACCACAAGAAGCTTTGCAGAAACTTGCCGCTTCAGGCCGTTTGTTTGTATTTTTCCCATTCTTCCAACGACTATATAATTGTACACATATATAATTTTCTGTAATGTTCGATTGCATGTCTACACTTTTGATGATGCAATGATGCATATTTTGAGAATCGGGTTTTGGGTGCCTGGACCGACCAAGGCTCCAGCCCAATCTCAGTTTCATGCCATGCCGGGGATCACCTGCCATGTTCACACCGCTCCAATCACTATCGAGCAAACATCCCAAAAATTCCCAGAACACCCCTTCGAATTCTGGTAAGCACTTCAACATGCTCCATGTAAATCGGGGTTTTCCAGTGGACTGCCGATCAGCACTAGTTGGAGAACGGTTCCCAAAGCAACCAAATGTTCGAGCCTCCAATGCATGCATGGTGAACCGTTTCAAATGTTCAACCCATTTCTGATATTTCTCATGCTCCAGGGCCATGTGGATCAGCTCTAGCCTCAAAAACCCTCCCGACCAAACGACTTCGCTTTCACCATCTCCAAACATGGTTTGCTCAAAATGTTGCTCCATGAATGACCAAGACCCAAATCAACAGACCAATCACTGGTCACTCAGACCTCTAGTGGTTTGCCCGATGCTTCAATTCGAGAAAAAACAAACTGCATAGAGGGCCAAGAATGGATGCCAACTCGGCGGCCATCGCATGGTGGGCTGGTGTATTTTGATGTATTTTGTTATAGTTTGTTCTTCTTGGAAGTCCAACCACTCGTGGCATTGCGTTTCTGACACACACCGTGGTCATCATCGTATATCTCTGATTAGCAGAGGTGGCCTTGACTTCTTGCCCGACCTCATTGCGAGGCAATGGCAAGGGGTGGAAGATTTTCCGCTCAGGGCTTGCTCCGGATCGTAGATGATCGTAGGGTGTCTTACAGAGAAATGTACCGGACAACCATGGAAAACCTCTACAGTATGTGAACAAAACGAATCTTCCTGTAGAACCTCCTGGAAACTCTTGGATTGCACATCACCCGGTCCAACCTTGCGGGAGAGGGCGGGGGGGCACAGTGTCTAAGAAAGTGGGGTCAACACAATTTCATAATCAAATTTGATGTAAGTTTTTCTTACATTTATATTCGGCCTTATATACATGTGTGTTGTCCTCTTCGGTGTTTCTGGACACACCGGCTCCAGAAACTGTATATCGGTAGTGGGGGCATTCCTTGGATCATCGAGGCATGTATGCAAGGGAGTGAGTACACTCGTCTTGAAACATAAAGCCTTGTTACTAGTAGCTTCTTGCTACTAGATGCTACCAGTAGCGATGCACTTGTTACTAGTCCCATGCTCATAGCCTTGGCGCTTTTTCCCTTTGGTGGTGAAAAGTGGTTCCCGGTCCTTCCGGCGTTCGTTTTGGTCCGGCCATGCGTCGTCCAGTTAGGGGTATCAGTAAAGCCCGTCTCACAGGCCGAACATACAAGAAATTCCAAAAAGTTGAAGTAGCGTACACCGCACAGCTTCTATAAAGGTTCACCAGCACCAGCACCTTGGCCATTTGGCCTTCTTGACTAGAAACTGACTTGAGAAACTTCCCACATCCAACATGAAAGTGCAAGTATGCCAAGGGTATCGGTAAAAACGGTTCCACCATATTAGTTGTGCAGGTATATGCATCTTATGGCGACTGTCAAGTCTTCTCTCCCAGATTCCTGCCAAACCGTCCTCTGAACTGCACGCATTTGACGTTGGGAACATGAGAAGCACACAGTCGTGGAAAGAGTTGTTCCGTGGAACGCATTCCAGCATCTGAAATGAATCCGGAAAAAAAAAAAAACTGCAGTCTACAGATGTCTACAGTGTACAGAAAAAGAAAACTCAACACGGCCAGAGTGGCAGGGTATTGTCTAGGACTCCGGTCGACTCCCACTTGCAGGTGCCACGGTTGGCTCACTGACTGCACGTGCCTCCATGGTGTGGCACAGGTTGGTTCTCTGTACTAGCTTCTTGTTAGGAGCGATGGCCTCCAACCTAATAGCGATGGCCTCCACCTACTATGTTTGAGTATGATTTGTTGACGAAAACAAAAAACAATTGAGTGATTGAGGTGCTCAAATCACCACTGATGGGTGGCCTACTCACCTTCAAAGCGCTTGGCTCAAATCCCAAGTAGTTTATACGGGCGGGCTGTTTAGACAGTCTTTCATATCATACCTGATAAAATCTGATAAGCATTCAGAATGAAAGTGTCCTGAACAGAACACAAATACACTGTACACAAAAAATAACGGGTGTATCGACATGTATTGACCTTTGTATGCAAATCGAAACTGCTGTAGCCCTAGCCACCAACCAAAAGAAAGGAAAACGTCGACCAAATGCCGACAATTTTCATCCAGCCGGATGAAACCACCCACCCACTCCTTGCCACCGGTGTGATTCTTAAATCTTTCAAGGGCTCCCTGAGCATGGACCCTCCAAACGCTTAGCGTTTGGACCTCCACCGGTGCAGTTGGCTTGACATCCGTTTCGTCGTTTGGGTCAGACGGGTCAGAGCCCCTAACCGCGTTGGTGAGCCTCGCCTCCAGTGGAGCAGCATCGGGAGGAGCGGGAGCAGTGCTGCTGGGAACAGCAGTGCCAGCACCACGTGACAGCCGCCAACCGCTCATGTAAACCTCAATCCATGCGGTTGGTTCGCATTCCAAAACGGCCTCAACGGTTTTAATCTCACAAAAAACACGTGGACCTGACCCATAACCCTGAATTGGCAGAGAACACGAATGATTTTTTGTCGTGATATGTTTGAACATCCCCTCTCTTCCTATATAAATCGGTTTTACAAGGGTATTGCTGGACTGTACCAATCCCTTCAACGAGACCGAACGAAGCCACGACACCCTCCTCTCGAGCCACGCAGCAGTTAGGGCATCAACCACCAGCTGATCCAGGCCATCTCGGTAGCCTGGCGAGAACTTGGAGCGAGCTGAACCTCTGCAGATCTTCTCCCGAACCTCCGTGGTTTCGAAGGCTTCACCGTGATGGATGAACATGATGGTGAAGTGATGGACGCAGCATCTGGGCGTCATTGACGTAGACTGCGCCATCTGAAGGGGCCCAAATCAATCCACCGACGCAACCAAATGGGTTGCCCCATCTCCACAGCCCACACCAAAAGAAGGAAACAGGTTCACAAATGTGGACAGGTTCAAAAGGAAGAAAACAGTTGAACAGGTTCCCATCCCAAAACCCAATGGCTTGCCCCATCTCCTCTGCATCAGTTTGATTGTGTGGCGATATGCAGATGTGGGTTAAAGCCTGCAAGGAACAAGGGGATAACTCGATCAGATTCTCGAAACGCATTGAGCTATCCTCGTGGTTCATTGAGTAATCATGACATGCTGGGTCCTCTCTATGTTCTTGGCTAATTGAATTTGACCCCCCGAAGAAAACCCACCTCAAAATGAATTGATACTCTCCCAAGCATCCCTGAGCGCCGAACAGCACCTGGACCGCCTGCCAGAGCTCTGGGTGGCTGGTCAGCTTCTGGCACTTGAGGCTCGTGGCTGGGAGCACCTAGAACAGCGAGGTGGTGTGGATCAAAGAGTTGGGATCCTCCAAACGGTGAAGTCCTTGAAAATCCTTTCGGACTGGCTACTAGTGGCTAGCGGCTAGTAGCCTGATTCCAAATATATATATATATATACAGTATATATATATATATGTACCCAAAAATCAAAAAACCTAAGCAACAAAAGCAGCAGCCTTTTGTCGTAGTGTTTTGAGAGATGCATGGGCCGTGGCAGCGACTGCTGCCTTCTTTTCCTCCTCCAAGTCCTTCTCCTTCTCGGCCTTGAGGTCAGCTGCAGCCAAACCCTGCATGGCCTGGTTCTTCCCGCTGGCTTTGGGCGGTCTTGTGGGCATCCTCCTCATACTCTGATGAGAGGATTTCCTGCCTGATGTGGATGCGGCAAGTTGTGGGGACCTCGTCCGCGAAGGCGCGCTCCTCCTCGGTGCAGGTGGCAGCGGGTGCCTGGGCATACTGGCTGCCATCGACAGAGTTGGCCCTCTTGTAGTCCTGTTCGACCTCAGTGGTGTCAACCGACGCCGCCACCGCAGAGGTGGACAGGGCCGGCGCCGAGCGGCGCCAAACAGGTCGGTCGTTCTCGTAGAACAAATGCCAAGTCTGGTCTCCCACTCCATCACCGAAGTTGGCCGCTGGTACTCCACACATTGGTCTCCTTTGCACATCCAGCAGCAAAGTGCCGCATCCGGCCAAGGCGTGTGGCAAGCCTTGCACATGGAGGTGAGTGGTGTTTCACCCGCGGGTCGGTGCAATCCCTTGTTGGCCTCAAGGCCAGACTTGTCATGTTGTTTCTGGTACTTCTTCTCCTGGTGGACAATCGCCCTCAAAGGCAAGTACTGCTCGATGATCCTTGTCACTAGGGGGTCGAGAGTGGATACCCCGCAAATTGGCCATCCTTTGCCCTGCTGAAGCCAAGGAGGGTTTTTGCCTTGGTTGAGGGCAGTCGCCATTCCGCAGGAGGAGGCCGTTTGGCCGGTCTTGGAGGCTCTGGAGCTTGGCTCTTGGCCGGCGGTGTCATCATACCTGGGTCCAGGAGGTCAGCAGCCGCCATGGGATCCGGCGCGCCTACACGAGAGCCCGCGCCGGCATCCCATGCGCTCACTGGCGTCATCATCCGCTGCAGGAGAGGCCGCCGCTGGTAGTTGAGGTTCAGCAGAAATGGGCCATTCCATCGGTGGTTCGGCCACCTCTAACATAGGGGCCGGTTCCGTCTCAGCCACGGGCACATCAGCCGCCGTAAGAGGCACCGGGAACTGAGGGGGCCTCTCCAGCTGCGGTGTCTGGCACTGGGATGTCCGTGCCCTTGTTGGCGTCCTCGATGTTTTGAAAATGAACCCGGAGTTCATCCATGTGCCGGGCGAGGTCCCGGATTTGGACTTGCATGTCCAAGTCTTCTACAATGACCGGCTTGCCAAAAAGGGAGAGGCCGGCAGCTGCCTCGTCCTCAGCGTGGCGGAGAGCTGTGGACGCCTCGTCCGCCTCCAGGTTGAGTCGATCCATGTCAGGGCTACTGACTGTAGCCGCATCTGTCACTTCCTCAGCCCCGTCGGCTGGTTGAGATTCGGTGAAAGTTTCGATCATCACGTACTCGGACTCCATAGGATGCGCCATTGCGATGGGCGTGAAGAATGAAAAGCCTATGGATCACGAGGTTCGCAAAATCACCGTTGGCAACTCACACGAGGTTGCCACCCAACTTGAGCCAAAATGTCCCGGTGGAACATTTTTAGCGAATTTTCGTGAACGTAAAAACTTGCAACCGCAAGCTCAATGCAAGTGTGAACAAATATACTCCTTGAATCTCCTTCAACACCTCCGTTCGCCGTGATCACTGAAGCCGAGTTGGGAAACTGCTGCACATGACTGTCATATACACATACGAAACCGAATGAACCATTTAATTATCCCGGCAAGAGACCCCAAACAGTGTGTGTGTGTGTGTGTGAGGTGTGAGGGGGTGTGAGTGTGAGTGAAAGTGGAGAGCGAGAGTGTGAGGGAGTGTGAGTGTCAGGGAGTGTGAGTGAGAGTCGGAGACCGAGTGAGTGCGAGTGTGGAGTGAGTGCGAGTGTGAAGTGAGAGTGAGTGTGGGTGAGAGTGAGAGTGAGTGTGAGTGAGAGTGGAAGAGTGAGTGAGAGTGAGAGTGGGAGAGTGAGTGTGAGTCTGAGTGTGAGTGTGAGTGTGAGTGAGTGTGAGTGAGTGAACCACGAAATCTGCACTTCGAGGTTCACCACCTGCTGTGCCTGCCGCGAAATCTGTACTTCGAGGTTCACCAAGTGCTGCACCTGCCACGAAATCTGCACATCGAGGGTCACAGAGTGCTGTGCCTGCCACTTCGAGGTTCACGAAGTGCTGCACCTGCCACGAAATCTGCACTTCGAGGCTCACCAAGTGCTGCGCCTGCTTCAAGGTTCACCAAATGCTGTGCCTGCCACGAAATCTGTCACCAAGTGCTGTGCCTGCCACGAAATCTGCAAACAAGCCACATGTCCAAAAGTCACGATTCAGTGCACCTGTCACGAAGTCTGAGCTCCTCGACGATCACCACCATGTCCAAAGTGCTGCACCTGCCACGAAAACTGCATTTCGAAGTAAAACAGCTCCGATCCCTTGCGCCTGTCACGAAAAGTCGACTTTGGAGCACCAAAACACGAGGTTTCCCTTGCACCTGCCACGAAAATTGACCACCATGTACCAAAATGCGCACGGCACCACAACGAGAGCGCAGTCGCCAGAAGCACCTGCCACCGGCAGGCAGATTTTGCGAGCCTGCGCAGTCGAAGTGCACATTGACGATGTCGAGAGGCATGAATGTACTGTAAATAGCAACGAACTAGCCGGACATGCCCGCGCGGAACAGCGATCCAAGCACACGTTCTTTTCTCCTACCGTAAGAACCCCTCAGTGTGCCCACACTGTTTGGGGAAAAAACAGTATACATATACCACCCACTGCACATGTGTATCATACCACCCACATACCACCCACTGTGTCACATGTATACTGTCATGCACATGTCGATTGAGCATCCCACTGAAACCACCCACAGCATCTCCACGGATTCGCAGGAGCTGCGCCAGGAAACCAGGCATCGCGGTCCGGTCCGATGCACAGAGCCTCGGTCCGGACCCCATCGGTCCTTCGGTCCAGCAAATCCATCGGTCCAAAAGCCCATGTCGGTCGCTGAAGACCGATGAATCGGCCAAAATGATTGAAGAGCGATGGATCCATTCTGAAGACTAAAGCAAATCCATGTCAATCGATCGGTGAAAAATCCATCGGTCCAATCGGTTTTTGCAGCTTGGGCTTTGATTTCAGTCCCTGACTGAGACATGTCAGGTGTCCCTTCCCAGCTGACTCTTCTTCCCCTCCCGGCACTCTGTGTTTCACATGCTTGCTGAGAGGCGGCATCAGATCCTTCAGGGTTGGAGTGGTTTCGGTGGGCACCGGTCGGCACCCGGTCGGCCCATGGTCGTTTCGGTCGGATCTGAGAGCAGTTGGACCGAAGGTCTGCGCATCGACGCCTGAGTGTTCTTGGTCGTACGGCCTTGCCCTTTCTTTTGTCATTGCAGGTAGAGCTCAACTTTGACCCGGTCATTTCTGCCAAATATCGCCAAATGACTGAAAATATTGGGGTTGGTTCTTGTGACTGCAGGTATACAATACTGCGTACACAAGGGCCGCCTGCGCAAAGCTGTGCTCTTTTGCAACTAGTCATTACATGACTCTATGCAGTACATGTCTTTTGGACTGTGCCATGTATCAGGGTAACACAATGATGTCCGGTCCTTTAGAAAAAATCGGAAATCCAACCGGGCAGTTTGAGGCATAAAACAATGGGAGAGATACTGTAGGGAGCATCGATAGCTAGATAAATGGATGTACAGCCAAAAATTTCCCTGGATCCTAAATGAATTGAATGATGTGGATTGAATGGTGGTTCAAACCAGGGTATATAACCAGGGACTGGAACCCCCCAAATTGTAGTTAACCGCATTCACCTTGACCAATCCCAGTTCATGACCCACATCAGCGGATCGGCGTGGCCTGAAGCTCTTCAAGTTGACTGCCAGGGCCTCGTGAACATTTGTGCGAAAACAGTGAAGATCTGTTCGGGTGAGCCAACCACGGCTCTGCCATGGATACTTTGTTGTACTCAAACCAAGGACCGGCAGGTTCTGCTTGATACAGTCACTGATTTCTTTGTAGCATGGAGGTGTTGTCGTCTTGGACGAGGTGGGTGAGTTGCTGGGCGTCATTTTGTTGCGAAGTACAGGAACCCTCTCCAGCGAGACCTGAAGGTGGGAAATCCAATCTCTCAGTCACTGGGACTTTGAAACATTAGCCTTCAGTAGCTCAATGAGACTCGATAGTTTCGTGATGTGATTCAACCGATTCATTTTGTTCCTTGCCATTCATCAGTTAATCTATCTTTTTGGGCGTTGGCTAGCAGGGAGGGCAACGAGATCCCATTGACACACGACGCTGTCAGAAGTGACGTCGGCGTCGGCTTCAGGCCTCTTTCGCTGCAAGAAATCGCACACCAGACACAAACGATTAAACTTTGCAACACACATCCATGAAAGAACTCAACTTCCAACTTGCGAAACTGTAGACTGGACAGGATCGATGTGTTTTCCCAACCACCCAGTATGGTCACGAAAATGATCCAGAACCTGTGAAGCTCTGACTTCTCCCCTTTCCTCTCCGTTTTGTTTACATGATTGTTCGTTCAAAAAAAAACACCCGTACCACCCCACTTGGTCCCTTGGTCCTCGCACGAGCTCGGCCACCACGTGCCAAACTCCGCGCCAGGCCGCCTGACATGAAGACCAACCAGGTAACCATCTTTTTTGGAGTCAAAGACTATAAAAAGAATGGCCCTTTAGGGATCCTTACGGTACAGTACCAGGTATTAGGATGTACTATAGTAGGTACCTGAAAGGGAACTTCCTTTACTACACTGAGGCAGTTCCCAAAGTCTTTCGACTTCTGGGGAATGGGTTCTGGACTGCAAAGTGAGGCAACGTGGGGTTTGGCCTACTCACGCCCTTCACGCCGACGCCTATCCGTGGCTGACCCAGAGGAAGACACGAAGAGAATGGCACGTGTCAAGTCAGTGGTCTTGATTGCAGTCCTGGGTGAGGAAGAAAGGTACTCGATGACTCCATAACAATTTGGTGTGTGTGACAAAGGCGTCAACATGCAACAACACACACATAGCTGTCCCATAGCCGTCCGGGCGCCGCCTACACTGCGCTGCTGTCCCACTTCCTGTACCGCCAAGCGGATCTTCGGCGGCACCTGGCGAAAAAGGCACTGGTGTGAGAGTGACCACTGCCGCAGAGGTTTGTTGGGTCTCAAAATGGGGTGAGTCTGAGAGTGCCGTGGAAGAAAGGAACACGAAGAAAGGACGTTTTTTATACGTACATCGGTGGATGAGGTCCCCATGTTTGAAACACACAGTACACGAACAAAGACCTTAGCGGCTTTAGCGGCGGAAGTGGCCTGCTGAAATCAATGACCTATTTACATTGAGCCTATGTCCTTTAGATATCTTTTAGACATGAACAAATATGACAAACTATTCAATGCCATGAGCAGATTTAAAATGATTTAAAGATCTGTTGCCTTCCGCAGATATCTCAACTGCTTCCAATTCGGCTTCACCCCCTGCAGAACGTCCACGCGAAAGCGGCCCTGGGTGGGTTGCTTTGGATCCACACAGGTGCCAAAAGAAGCCCTCATGATATTTGGGGGATTTGAAGGGTCAAAAGACCTCAAAATGAACCTCGACTTCGGCTCGCGAAGTACCTCGGCTTTCTTGCAACACCCGGAGAGTGTGGGCAGCACAGAAAGGGTGTCCTCCCGGTCAACCGGGCCTTGTAGGGCAGCACATAGAAGGGCACGGGAACCAAACGGCTCAGAGGGTCGCGCATCGTGACCTGCTCAGCCGTTCGGGTCGCGGGCTCCCTTCCGGGTCGCACGATCCCGTCTCCAACCCGTCCGAAGATCTTCGGACCTGCCTCCAGCTCGGTGGGAACCAAAGTCCTGCGACCGGTGGGAAGAGACGCCGTGTCCAAAGTCCAAATGGATCCAAATGGTACGGTGCAGGGTATCACCGGTCGGGAGGTCTCCCCAAGTCATGGGTGAGAGACGGCTACGCCGTCCACTCTCCTGCTGTAAATCTCGTTTGCAAGCAGCATTGGCGTTACAAGCATGTTAAGCCGTAGCAAACTCCTCAGCTTCTGGTACAAAAAGAGTGCTGCATGCCTCAGCACGAGTCAAAGACCGCGTGAAAAAAGGCTGGACTTATCTTGACATGTAGCGGTGCAAAAGGCTACCAAAGAGACCTTGCACAAAAGGCCTTGTGGGACAAGCCCTCAAACACCCTCAAACAGCTCAGGCCACCGGAACCCACTGGGGCGCCCAACAGGAGCCGCCCGAAGGCGCCACGCCCTGCCAGCGTGGAAGTCGGGCATCACGCGTTCCCCAAACAAACATCAAACATCACGAGATTGCCAGATTGCTTCCTCCCAAAAAATGCGGTGACACGTGTTTGCAGGAACTTGCTGGATGCTGGCAACTTGTGGGACTCCGATTCCAGCCCACTCCAGCTCGGGTGACGGGTTGATTTTCAGCTGCATTTGCGAATAACACAGTTGTGACTGCTCACTGCTCTCCTTTCTGTTTCATGTCCAGCAGGCAGGGTGGTTTCTGAAGGCTGGAAGTCACGCATCCAGTCGAAGGCTGAGAATGGGCGTCTCGCTGTGGTCTCGCCTAGTTCCAGTGTCTTCACCAGCGCTTGAGAGCCCTCGCGGGACCGCGCGCGGGGTGCAAAGGCGATCAGTCACAAACATACAACGACGACAACAACAACAACCCTTGGTATGGAGAGACCAGTGTGTGTACGTGTGATACAGCAGCTTTTGGTATGTAGATGATGATAACCGGATAGTGATATTGATATGGTCTCAAAAAGGGAAGATAGCCTCTGAGGTGTTGGGTTGATCACGTATGTAAAAACCGATGAGTCAAAACGTATCAAGGTAGTGCCCGGTCTCTTGAAATATCTTGCAGATTCTTACAGTATGTATATAAGATTATACAACAAACACCAGCGCTGCACCCTGCCTCCAGGCCATAGGCTGCTTGCGAGGCTCCAGGCAGCTGGCGACCGAAAATGACAAAAAAAAACTCCCAAGATCTCCCAACACAAAACAGAGACTCCTTGGGTAAATGATGGTAAATCAAATGGATGATCTATCAGGCTTGTATATTTATATATATATATGTGGTGTGTATTGCGGGAAAACTGATTGTTTCCCTTCAACAATTGGAGCGACCTTAAAAGGTACTCACGGTTCTTTGAGAATTGAGGATTCAAATGAAAGCACCCAGGTACCCGGCCCAACTGATGATGGGCATGAAAATAATGTTCATCCTCATTACATTACAGCAGGACCACTGAGTGGAGCAGTGGGAACAAAAAACAACTCTCTTGGCCTCTGCCACGGATTCAGCCACGCGCTGGCGGAATTCGAAAATGAAGCCTGTCATGAACACCGGTCACGACCCTCTAGCAGAAAAGAAGACATCAAAAAAATCACCGGAAACGCAAACAAAAAATGCCAGTCAGAGTTCCATCTGCACTGCAAAAGAGCATGGTTCATGACATCAAAATGTGTCATGTAAGCACATCCCGAGCTGTGGACTCTTCAGAGATGCCAACTTGCTCTCCGCAAATCCTTTGGCGTCACGTGCTGTTGTTCATCTAGTCTTCTCACCCCTGTCATGCAGTACAAAATTCCATCAACTGTTCAACTGACTGAGTGATGTTGGTCGCATCAACACTTTCTCAGTATTCGCCCCCGAAAATCTGTCCTTCAATGGGAGGATCGGGCTCCGCAGGACCTAACAACAAACGTGTTTCAGGCTCAACGAGGCCCACTTTTGCATGTTGAAATGGCACCGGTGCCAGCTCGTGCCGGTGCCGTGGAGTGGCTAGAAGACCCATTAGCAAACACAACCCACCAAGTGGGTACCGGATTGCAAAGTTAAAACACATGAAGTGTTGTTGTCACTGAACGCAAACTGGTGTGGCAGCGATGAGCCTTGCTAAGTGGGTGGCTGCTAGCCAGGTTAGTTACTGCAATAACGTTGTGCCAATGAATACCTTGATCAGGAAAAATTCCGTCCATCACAGAAACAGTAGCGCCCGAAGAAACTCAACATTGTTGGGGTTCTCTGTTAAGAAAAAGCCTGGCCACAGTCTGGCCGCGCGGGTGAACGCTGTGTCCGGATGTTGTCCTCCTGCTGACCTCTTTTGAACGCCTTTTGTCCTCTTGTCCTTCTTCTGGTGTGTAGCTTGGCCACGGCTGCCAGCCGGTCTCCAGACCTTGTCCTCCGGTTGCTCTTTTCCTCCTCTTCTCCTCTTGTCCTCTTCTTGTCCTCTTGTTCTCCTCCTGCTGTGGCCACGCCGGCGAGCCCTATGTCCGCCTTTTGTCCACTTCTTGTCCTCTTCTTGCGCACCTGTTGCCCTGCCCTTCTTCCGGCTTGGCACCGCAGCTAGCCCGTCTCCAGTCCTTGTCCCTTTTTTGTTGTATTCTGCCTGTCCTCTCTGTCCTCCTGCTGTCCTCTTGTTGACACCAGCCTAGCTGCGGCTGCCAGCCACCTGCTGTCCTCTTTTTGTCCTTTGTCTTTTCCTCCTCTTGTCCCCCTCTTGTCCTCCTGCTGGTGATGACAGCGTGGCAGCATGTAGACATGACACACTACACAGCTGCGAGGCTTGCCCTGTTGTTGTCTTCTTCTTGCGGTCCCTGTCCTCCTCATGTTCTTCTATTGCCTTCTTGTTGTCCTTCTTCAGGTGTTCATTGGCCGTGGCTGCCAGCCCATCTCCGATCGCACTCCTCACGCAGTCTTCTTGCCTCTCTTTCTCTTGTCCTCTCTTCCTCTTCTCCTCTTGTTCTCCTATTTCTTGTGCTCTCCTCATGTTGTCCTGTTGTCTTTTTGGCATTGCTTTCCGAGGCAGGGGCTGGGGCTGCGGCCGCCCACCACCACAGCAACAACAACCATTCTTGCCGACTAAGCTGCTTGGGGTCTATGCTGGTATAATTTTCTTGGGTATGGTCGGCGGTATGGTGTTCTCGTCCGCCCAGCCAAAGCTGTAGCTATGTTGGTGGACAATAGATGCTGGACCTTCGAATTACATCAATGTGTATAACCGCTCCACAAAATCCACAAACAACCCACTGCACACAAAGAAAAACCAACTGCCAGCTGCCAGTACAAACAAACTGTCTCTGCTACAGATCTTCTGGGTTCCAGGCCCGTCCCCTGGCAAAACAAGGGCAAATGGCCATGGAAATGTCTGTGGGTCAATGCCCTGCCCTGAACATGAACCGACGACGTTAAGCTACCAAGGTCGGCGTCCGGTTCGGGAACGAAAAGGTTGAGTTCGGAAGCTACCAGGCTCAACCGGGCTCTGCGTTTGGACAGCTCAGCCAGATACCAGACACACCAGTTCTGGCATATCTGGCCCATCGTTGGCTCAGCCATTTTGGGTCTCATGTCCTGCTCAGTGGAGCCAACCAACTTTCGCGTCCTTTCGCTGTTCAGCCACTGCCCCTTTTCTTCCAACCACCCAGAAAGGTTGGATTTCGCAGGCGCAGGTGCGGTCTCCAGATGGATCAACATGTTCCATGTCCAGATGGTCATCGGGGCACGGACATCGTCGCCAACTCATTGCCATTGTCATCGACAAAGATGCTCATCAGCTTCGCAACATGGTCATCGGTTTCATAACATGTTCATCAGCAATTCATTGAGGCATATTACCGCTTGCCTTGGAGTTCTTACCTGCATGCGCTGGGGGCCTCAGTGGGGCGAGCCTCAAAAACAAGGAGCATCAATTCAAAGACGTGGATTCAAGGCACCAAAACTCATTTCAGCATGTGTACTGAGTAGGCGGTGCACTGTAAACATCTCTATATCTTTAAACTTCATTAAAAAGCAGTGTTTTATTGACAGTTCAATCCCTCATTTACACTTGCGTGAAAAGAGGTGATTATTTGAATATATATTATAGATTACGAGTATTAAAATAGATACAAAACCAGCCTATGTCCAACATTCTATCACGAGGGGCCCTTTTCTAGACACAACCTGGGACACGACCCCGCGGTGACCGCCTCAGGCCAATGGCTAGAGCGAAGCTGCGTCGCAAGGTAGCCGCGTGGGTCGAGCTTCGCCTGCGTCGACCGTCGCACTTTTCGGAGACCGGCTTTTCGAGGAGAGGCCACCGTCATCGAGTGAAACGTGATCGACACGTCCGAAAAGGACGTTGGGATAGAAGATTGAAGTGATCCTACGTAGGTCGTCTCTGGGAAGACCCTGGGAATAATCTGGGACAATGCTCAGGTCATCCTGTTGCGTTTTTTTGAATACTCCATGATTTCCATTCTATCGTACGTGTCCAAATATATAATTGAAACTCCAAACCTTTCTAGTTAGCTGGGTGAATCTCTCTGGCGACTACAGGCAGTTGCGGGGTACCTGCGCCAGTAGAAAAGCTAGCAGCTAGATCAAAACCCTGGGCTTGTCAAACGCAATGCTGACCTCAATCACCACTAGGTTTGGACGGGCTTTCACTCTTGCCAGCGAAATGCTCTGCTACTCATCCCCTTCTATAGCATATACAGTAATTGTAGAAAGCAGGTTGGAGGTGTTGCCTCATCAACCACAGCGATTGGACCACATCATCCTCCCCTTGGCCCGTGGCCCGTCCCACTCGCGTCCTCCTCGCGAACTTTGGCGAGGCGCAGCTCATCCAGCAACACTAACCTTGAACAGGTTGCTGGACAGCCCTGGTGAGAACATCGCAACATTTTGGCCGTACAGCAGTATCGCTTCTAGAATCTTCTAGAGACGTCCCCCATCCTCTCTCCCACGTGTGAAAAGCAAAGTGCACAAAGTGAATTCTTGTCAATGATTTCCGGGTTTTTAAATGATCAGAACAGGTTTCAGTGGATTTATGATGTTTCAGCATGTTTCAGCAGGATGCACATTGAACTTCTAAGCTAACCACTCCAAGCGTGCACGGAAGGCAAAGACCTCTCTCAGTTTGAACACGTGCTTTGTTCTTACATAGCACAAGGATATCCATGTTTGTAGGGCCTCCCCCTACTAGTGATGGCCTCCAACCTAAGAGCCATGGCCTCCACCTAGTAGCTTCTAGCTACTAGTAGCTTCTTGTTCCTAGTAGTAATGCCAGGAGCTGCTAGTAGCGTCCTTGCTCCTAATAGCGATGCCATGCGATGCCCTTGTTAGCAATAGCGGTGAACGGCGAATCCGGAAACTAGGCACGGCGAACGGGTCTGAATCGGATCGTTTCTGAATCGGGTCTGTGAAATACGAAGATGTCCACGCTACATCAAACAAACGTTTCATTAGATCCTCACCCCACCCCACCCCACCCCCCCACCCCCCAGTGTCCGAATCGGGTGAGTGTCTGAATCGGGACACTCTGCAGCTTCAGACTCGCTTCAGTGTCTGAATCGTTCGTTCCCTGTATCGTTTTCAGTTCAGATGTCGCACCACATCGGACGGCATGCAGCACCGCGAAGCGGGACCCTCGCGGTGACGGCAGCGTTGACTCTCGGTCTCCATCTGACTCTCCTGGCCTTGGCAGTCGAAGACCTCGGTCATCCGGACGAGAGAGCGCAAACGTGTCGATGCGTCAATACTCGGGACATGATGTGGGGATGTTTACCTGCGATGGAGGAGAAATGAGGAGAAATGAAACATGTGTTCCTGATTCGATCCTGAATCCTAGTACATCCTAGTACCATAAATATCATATCTGTAGAAGCATAGTGATAGAATTGAGCCAAATCTGAGGGCCGTCTTCATCCACCAGCCATGACTGCAGTTGGCTCCGAGGTCGGCGCCAAGCGTGCCAAACTTCCAAGAGAAGCTGCCTGTCACTTGACTTTCACGTTCATTGAAGAAAACCCAAGAGTGGTGGCAAATGGTGGCAATGTGACGATGCGACGACGCCAGGAAACCATGTGTGCTTTGCGGTTCTGATCTGGTCATACAATGCTGTTTTCGTTGCTCAGCTGAGGCAGTCGGTCAATTGAAAACAAAAAGCAAGGCGACAGCAAACATATAAGATCTAGCAATATACAAACAAGGCCAACCAGAAAGACGAAGAAGCGCTGGAGCCGGACAAGAAGAACCTCGACCCGAAAGCACGAAGCTTGCGTGCTCTATGTCTCTGTATGTCTTTTTGATTCTTGTTGGGTTTCTGCCAAGTCAAAAGACATCAAAAGACTCAACATTACAAAGCTAAGTTCCTCATCGAGAAATTGGGCCGAGACCAAACACTTGGGCAGAAGAAGACCACTGTGGAACCCAAACTGCATGATGTGCACGTCGTCGAATGACATCGTGGTCGCCAGTCATGGTCGCGCCCCTGGTCGCGCCTCTGGTCCAAGGACTGAAGACGACGCTTCCAAAGATCCAGCTGGGCCTAGCGACTCATCCACACCGCCGAAACGACCCCAGTCACATCGCAGCGAAACGTCCGACGCATGGGGGGCAAAGAAGGTTGGGAGCCCAAGCAAGTAACGAGGAGTCCGAGGCTATTCTGTTCAACAGTTCAACTGGGTGTTCAAGAGTTCAACTGGGTGCGAACGAGGGTTATCCCACCCAATGAGGCCGGAAAACGCTCGATAGAAAAAGGATGAAAAAGGTCAATCTGGAGGACAGGTTGGTTCGAAGGAATGCCTGGAATGCCTCACTCGAAGTCGAAGTACTGTATATATGCTGAGCCAAAAATACTGGTGCAGGACAAAAATTAGTATGTAGTCTGAGTCTGAGGGAAAAAGGTATTGGACTCCCAGCATTGGCAGGGGTATGGGTTTCTTGGTGGTCCTCTAATGGTTGTCCAATGCCCCTCCCTCTACTAAATGATATTACAGTAAATGTGTGTGCAATTGTGCACACACTTCTGTATGAATGTTGCTTTACATACAGTAAGTGTTTGTATAATTTTCTCGGTTGCAACAATGAGTCTGCGCGCTGCAATCCTATGCATTCAAAGCGCAGGATCCTCAGCATCTTACACAATGACCTATTCTTGCAGAATAATCATGATTTAAGTGACACTCATGAGGATGAGGATGCTATTAGGATAACTTAGTAAGGATCTTCGGATCATTCACTTCTCAAAGGCCTGGCACCCAACCGGTACCTTCCGATGGCCTGGCTGCAGCGGCTTCGCACCTGAGAGTCCTCGCCATGTGGTGACGACCATTGGACTCTCCAACGAGAGGTGGTGATGCTTGGTGGTAGGCTTTCCAAGATGGTAGGCTTTTTCATCATCTTCCCATGTCCTGGGAAGGCTTTTGGAGGACTGCTTAGGTGGAATGGCCCAGTTTTTCGGACCGCTTCCCAGGCGGACTGCGGTGGGGCCGGGAGAAGTCCACCAGGGAGCACGGGCGGGTCCCACAGGGGGCCTCCGGTGGGCCTGTCCTCCGGCAAACGACGAAGAGGATCTGGAACGCCAGGATGCTCCTGCCGGAGGAGCACTCATGGCTGAACCTCCACCTCGCATGGTCATAAGCTTGATAAATTTGCGATGAAAGACTTTTGCTATCTTTCGCTTAGCGGGATGTAAAAGGATGGCTTCGACATCGTCGTTTGCCCGTTTGCCCGGCCTGTAGCTCATCCTCTTGTGGAAGCATGGAAGGAAGCCTGACCCGCAGCTCCTGCATCTCCCTCCCTCCCTCTCCCTCCCTCTCCCTCCCTCTCTCTCTCTCTCCCTCTCCTTCAACAACTCATGAGGCAAAAAAAACACCAGCATTCAATCTCACAAAAAACATCCATGAAAGAAACATATGTGGGCGCATATTGCGCATATCCAAAAAAAGGAGAGACGAGACCCCTTGCCCTCATGAGTTCGGTTTGGGTCATATCTCGGGTCGTCTCTGTCTCGGGTCCTTGGGTTGAAACTCCTGGGTCCACAGCAAGGCGAGGCGAGTCGTTCGGATGGAGGGTGGAGGTCGTTGGGTCGTTCGGCCGCGGACAGGGCGCCCCCATTTGCCCCAAGGCCCCAGGGTCGGCTTCGTTCATAGCTTGTCCTTGTCTGGAGCCTGGAGCCTGGCCTGGAAATTTGCTTAAAACTTGAAACCGAACCTATGCCTGGAATTTTGAACCTCATACAACCTGTTGAAAGCCGTTGATCTCCAAAATAATCGTAGTTTCAATGTACTGTGAAGAGTCACCACTACCACAAAAAAAAGCATCAACAAGGTGCTTTTGGGGTTCTAAGTTGCCAGGTGTTTACTTCAAAAAATCTTCGACAGAACAAAAACTCCGCTTCGATGTTCGAAAAAGACCTTCAGCTCGCTCCTCGCTTGGAACGCTTGGAAGGCCGTCCAGCTCACGTTCCGGAGCCTCAACAGAACGGTCCTGGCGCAAAAAATCAACAAACCGGTCCTGGTCACCAGGACGGCGTTGGTTTATGCCCTCGCGAAGAAGGAAGTCTCGGCAAGATAACCCAGTGTCTCGGCACTTCGAATGTATGGCCCTGCCACAGCTCAATTTAACACTGTGCAACGGCGGTCCTTTTCTGCGGGCGTGCGGGGCTTGCTTGGCCAGTTTGGGCTCACATATACCCTCTGTGATTTCACCCACCTCCCAGCACAAATGAAGGATGCTTGTTGGTCACCAAAAATGAATCTCTCACCAGATCTTGACCTATCTATATTGGCAACCTGATCTATTTTGAAGATCGATTGGTCACCTGATCGGCGACCACATCGGCAACCTTCTTGAAACCACCGTATGGATGAGTGCCCTCCCACGTCCGTCCTGCCACATCTCCAGTCCCTCCGGCCAAGAGTGCCGAAGCTGGCCTTCCTGCGGGAAAACATCGCAACAGAATGGGAAAGAATGGGAACCATTATAACTAACCATAGAATGCTTATCATTGTAGGTTTTAGATATTTTTATCGCTTTTCCCCAAGATGACACAAATGACCCAAGAATACGTCTGATCAGTTGAGGGGATCATTGACTAGTAACAGGTCTTAACATGTCTGAACCAGTGCTCTAGATGAATCATGATAAATAAATACTATAAATCACAGTCGGCACTTGTATGCTCGCTAAGGAGTTAAGAATGTTAAGATGAGTTATATAACTGCAGTGCACTGCAGTGTTCTTTGTTTGCAAACAACTTATGACAACTTGCATGAGCCGACTCTGGAGCGACTTGGCCTCAGTCTGGAGACTGGGGCACTGCGCAAGACTCAGTGCTGGGATCCCCTCACACAGGGTCAGATATCAAACCACCTTGCCCCTGGTGGGCATCCGACAAAAAGAAGCCGAGGATGTGCATGTCGTTTTCAATTGGAAAGACACCCAAGCCAGTTCAAAAGCAAAAGAAAATTGACAAAGTACCGTTTAAAAGGAAAAAACACGTTTCTGCCATCGGCTCCTCTGGATGCCACGTGCGCTCCAGAGGTTCCTTGGAGAACTCAGATGAAGCCAGGAAACCCCGTGTCCGATACAATGCCGTGACATGTTTGTGGGTCCTCCGAGCTTGAGTCCACTGCTTTGAAGAGACAAAATATCCAGTACATTGATGTTATACTTGTCGATGTTTGTCTGTATGATATATATTGTTCATTGTTGTTCCATATCATTGAATGCTTTCACTCGCACTGTTGCTACAAGCCTCTTGCACTACAAACCCTCTTGTTCCTGGACCTCGGCAACATGGTCTCCCACATGCACACCAACAACTTCCACCCTCGGCCGTGGACGCTGGAACTCGACACGGGCTCCTGGCGGTTGGGTGGCCATGCGCCCAGGAAAAGCGGAGAACCTCCAAGGATGATCTTTTTGAAGACATTGGATATGATATCAGTCTAGTTCAAAGGCGGCAAAGGTTGCAAAAGGGATCAAAAGGGTAGCTGAACACGGCTTTCACCAGGCAAAACACAAACATATCCGCCCACCCCATCTTGAAGCCAAACCGGCGTGCCGCTGTGGACGCCGACTCCGCTCGCTCCGCTCCTGGGGCAGCAGACTCCGGGACACTCGGGCCGCTGGTTCGGTGAGGGGCTCGGCCACCCGCTGCTCGCCGCGCACGGGACCTCGAGGCTGTGAGAGCGTCGAGTTCAAAGCCATGGCCGCGGCCATGGCCTCCACGCTAGCAGGTTGGAGGCCATCGCTATTAGGTTGGAGGTCATCACTCTAGCTTCGATTCCATCGCTAGTAGGTTGGAGGCGACATCAGCGGACTAGACTAGAGCCCTCTTCGTGTCATGAAGCTTGGCATGGCTTGGCCAGTTCATTGGCTCTCAAACAGTTTATTAAAATGGAAAGTTCAAAGATTTCTCAACTGGGTGACGATGTTCACGGCTCACAAGGGAACTACAGTGGATCGAGGACCAATGAGGACTGTATATTTTGAGTAGGTTCCGTTAAGTTCCCCTCTAGAAGCCTATGAAGTCCATAAACAAAACTTAGGGTTAGTCCATCAACCTTAGTATCCATTTTGAGCGGCTCAGTCAGACTTGAATGCCTGATTTCTGAAAGGTGTTGGCTCCTCGGATGTGTTGGGGAACTCTGGCTTTCACCGCAGGTAAACGGCGGCGGTCCAATTGGGATGTGGGCTACATGGTGGATGCATCTCCCTGGTCAATTTGCTGGTGAAAATGGTGATAACATGTGATAACACCAAAATCGAGCGACCGGTATGCCCGAACAAGTCCCTCGCATCCGTATGTCCACGCTTCCAGGTCACCCGGCTGCGCACGTTGACGGAGCGTGGCTCAGAGGTGGCGCGGGGGGGCACCGCGCGCCGAAGAGGACGACCGTCCAGGTCCACCTGCGCACCCGGTCCGTGGCACCCATCCACTTCTTGTTCCTAATAGCTTCTTGCTCCTAGTAGTACGGCCAGGAGCCCCTAGTAGCTGCTTGTTCTGCTCGGTCAATTTCTGCAGATCGAATAAATATGAATAAATGGTTTTCGTGGGTTCCGAGAGCGATGTTAGAACAGTGAAGGGGTTCAACTTTGTAATTTTTGGACGTGAAATGGTGTAAAGTCGTTTCGCATGGCTGGAGATCATGGTTGTTGAATGTGAGGAATTGCTTAGTGGGTTCCGTAAGCAGCATTCGACGGCAAGGGGTTCCGTTGGATGGTTTTGTCTTTTGGCATACCTGCTGCCCGCTGCGTTCGACCGAAGGGGGAGCAACATGAGCCGCCGAATGTATCCGAATGTCGTTGGAGTCGTTGGAGTCGGAAGGATTCGTCAGCAGTGTGTCCACAACCCAAGGACCGACACTGCTGAGGCAACGCACGAAACAACGCGAGGACCTTGTCAGCTTCAACAAGCTGTCAAGGCCTTTGATATTGACCATCGGGTCAACAAGCTGTGACGCTCGATCGTACTGAAATTGTTCGGAAGATCTCACGAATCGGTGCTGTGATGTTGCTGTTGCCAAGCTGGGATCGAATAGCCATTTGGAAGGCTTCGAGAACCATGCTGAGCGACTGGGAGCAGTTGTGTTCCGAAAGCAACGTTGATCCGCGAAGGGGCTCGTTTGTCATCCGCAGTGTCATCAGCTAGTCGGGGCATAATTTTGCGCCGGAAGTAGATGGCTAAGGCGCTGGCGCGGGGGTTCGCCAATTGTTTGCAAGCTGTTGAGTGGAAGACCTCTGTCTTTTGGCATACATGCTGCCACGCGGAAGGGGAGCGACATGAGGCCAGATCGAAGGTAAGGAATTGTCTTAATCAATTCCGAAAGCAACATTAGACCCTGGCCTTTCGAACTTTGTGTGTTTTGACCACAAATAGATGGCATACAGCTGTTTCAAAGGGTTTCGAGATGCATGGCTGCAGATTCAACTGTGTGGCTCCAGTTTTCACCACAGTTTCGAGCCTGGCGGCCCAAGCGCAGCCGGCCAGGCGAGTCTGCACGAGGGACAGAGTCTGGAACCCCCCCACGCCATCCCAGGCCCCCAAAAGAGTCCCCAAAACCTGGCCATCAAGATCCTAATTACGGTAGTAGTCACTCATCCCATTCTCCTCACCGTACCCTCTCGGAGTAGAAAAATCACTCGGTGGAGCACTCGGAATCCACAAACATTGACTATAACCAAAAAGTCCCAAAAGATCCTAATTACGGTAGTAGTTCTGCACAGGTTCACACTCTTCACTCGCTCATACGGTAGGTGCAGGCTAGTTGGACCACAGCAATCCTTGATACTTGATCCACAGAAAAAGGCTCTACGCCGATTGACCCTGACTTTGTCTTGGCTAAAGTTGAAATGTCACAATCGAAGCCACTATGACCATACTCAAAATTCCTAACATTGAAAAGTAGCTCGTGGGCACAGACCTTCTGTGAGCAAAGCTGCCCGCTGCTGGTCTTGTGACAAAGAGCTTGCTCACTGCGAAAAGAAATTCCACGGCCAAAAGTGCATAATAGTAAAATCACAACTAGTCAAAAAGTGTCCAGCAAATATGCAATGGAAGAGCTCCCCCTTCAGACCAGTTTCCTGTACAAAGGCTATATATAAGTTTGTCCATTCTATGAGCATTCTATCTTAGCCAGAGGGAGGGGTATGCAATGGAAGAAAAATGTTTGTGCGCGCACACAACGCCTTTGCTTCACAAATACGGCCAGTGCAGGAAGGCTTGCGCAAGATGTTTTTGTTGGTCTGGGGCGGTCTATCAGATTTGGAGGGGAACACCTGTGGACACATAGATGTTCGGCCAATCTCTCAACAAGCACTCCATTTGCCAAGCCTGTGAATGCACCCAAGTGTCCTAAGTGTGCTAAGGAGATGCTGAGCTCTGGATTAACACTGGCTCCAAAGAATCAATCTCCATCACCTTCCATCATCTTCCAGGGGTGGCTTCCAAAAATACAGCCTGCGTGCTTCTATTGGGCACACAGTCAAGAGAAAGATGAAAAAGGAGCTCGGTCGCCGACGTCGTGCCGCAAAGGACTCGGGTCGCAGCTGGGCCTGAGCATGGCGTGTGGTTCATGAGGCCCCCCCGGTGGCCTGACCCGTGATCACCGTGATCACCCAAGCACGGTTGGGGAGCAGAAATCCGAGAGAAGAGCAGAAATGAGATGTCACATGGATAATGATGGATACATGAGTAAAGAGGTAGATTAGATTAGCTATGATTAGCTGGACACCAAGACAAGATACCATCTACCCCACCTTCGCCTACCGTCAAACGACGGAAGGCCTTACAGCCGGAAGGCTCGGTGCGACAAAGAGTCGTCGGGATGCCCAAAATGCTTCTGATTCCTAGTAGCAACGTTCGTCGCGATGCCCAAAATGCTCCGTTCGTAGCGCCCTCGTTCCCTGCCGCCCCTGGCCGCCCTGGCCCCTGCGGACAGTTCTTGAAGCTGTCGTCTGGCCTGCGGATCGAAGAACCAGGGAGTGAGGATTCTTCGCAAGAACGCTGTGAGACCCCACGAGTCCCACGTTCTTGTAGAACCAAGAGGTTATGAGGTGAGGCTCGACTGCAAGTCGGCCATACCAGGATGAATTCATGCTTGGAAACCATCTTCAGCAAGGTGCCTTCTCTCCGACTGAGTCTGTGAAGTGAAAAGCTGCAGTTTTCTGATGTTGTTTGTACGGCAACGCTCCTTGACATAATCATGGAAGTTGGAAACCACCTGTCAAAGAAAAATGGTCCTCCTTCTCCGCTTCCATGATTACTTCAGGAAGTGTAGGGGCTGTTGGACATCAGGGGCAGAAGCTTGAGAGGGCAAGAATCTGATCTCGCCTATGTTGTAACTGGTCAACCGCTTCCAAGTCTCAAAATTCTGGGACGACCCGAAATACCCTGTTGGTAGGGAAGGCTGTCAAGCAAAACCACCAAACAGGTTTGAGGATGGACAAAAACAGGAAACAGCCTGGCTTGGCATCGGCAAAAAAAATCCTTCCAGAAGGTGATGGCCTGGTGCCAGGACGCCTCAGCCTGCAATCGAATTCCGAGGATCGTCGCTGAAAGAAATATCTTTGACTTGGACAACCCAACGCCGAACCCCAGCTGATTCACCCATGAATACAAATCGCCTGTGGGAGGATGGTCACCGTGCTGAATCATGTTTTGCATGGTAGGTCTCAACACGGTGCAAAACATGTCACCTAGGCCGGCTCAAGAAGCTAAAGCAGGTCTTTGATGTCTGAGAAATGATATCATGGCAACGTGAGCTTGTGGCGCTTCGCGAGGAAATCTTGCAAAGGGCCATCACACTCGCTCTCAAAAAACACACAGGTTGGATCAAGGTCAAAGGGGTTACATCAGAAAGGACGCCACGATCATCGCCTTGACACAACCAAGAAAGACAGGAGTGTTCACCATATGGTCCACACGAGGAGGAGGGCAAACCTAGCTTAAAACGATGAATGGTCTTGTTCAATCTTGTTCAGTACAGTTAATTCAGTGGCAGGTTCCAATCAGAATGGTTCACCTCCATCAGGCAGGGTAATTCGTATCGCAGGTGCGCGCACACCAAATTGGATACAATGGTTTTGCAAACTCACTCAAAGGACAGGTTGTAGCAAAAGGAACAAAGCACGTGGAACATTTCTAGTCGTTGTTGTCCAGCTCTTTGCCACAGTGTCAACTTGCACTCGGCCACGGTTTGGTCAATGATGGATTTGGCAACACCAAAGGGGGATGCTTCACAACACGCAAACGTTGAATTGGTTCTCAAAACATCTCAAAACCACACTCTTGGGTCCTGTCGAACGACGTGTTTCACAAACCGCTAGGTTAGGTTGAAATCGTTTGAAATCCATACCCTTCTACACATAGGTTCCCATTGGGGGTCACAAACCTCCAGCCGTAGGACCAAGTGTTGACGTGTTTTCGCCGAATGACACCGAGCCGTTCCCGTGCCCGGCCAACCGGTCAACCGTCCAGCCGGCCAACCGCAAGGAACCACGCAAGCAACGGTCAGTGCTAGGAAATGCATGGACATGTGAAAACAACACGAACATGAATTGCGTGACAACATGAACATGCGACTCCAAAAAATGGCGCGCTGTAAGTGTATGTCCTTTGTTTTTTGCGAACCTTCATCAAAACAGGGTAGGTATATAATGGTATATATATATACATATATATCGGGCACGACGGCAACACCAAATATGTAATCAAATATTGACCATACACGCATTTAAAGCAAACAAGTCACTCAAAGTCGCGTCACCATCGTCGTGTCGGAAGAGAAATCGTGGTATACTCTTCGAAAGTAAAGTGAAGGGGCTAGTCTTGCTGAGTTCCAACAATCCTGCCTTGACTTTGTGCTTTGCAGCCTGAGGGCAGGTCGTGGCATTGAATACAAATCCAAGCCTCATTCCAGTTTTTGAAGTCCGTCTCAGCGGCACTTAACTTACATGTAACATAAATTGGTCTTTGGCGCAAGTCCGAACCTGCTCCAATGCCTGCTCCAGCACACCTTCCCTCAAGCCTGGGGAATTCAGAACACTCCACGCAATGACCACATCCGGGGCCAACGACCCAGTTGCCTCTGGGTTGAACGATAAAAGTACCAGCTATTCCAAGCGACGTCAGTCACTGAGTTTGCAAAGCACCGCACCCTCAAATGATATGAATTCTCTGTCTTGGGCTGCGGCCAGCGGCTCTCAACTCCATTGCAAGCCTTAAGTCTCCAAAGCAAAACAAGAGCTTCAACGGGAACAACCAACACTCACTGGACAAACGGTGTCCGTTGGGTCAAACCTCACTAAAATCCCTACTCCAATGCGCAGCACTTGCAGTGCGTCCGGGCGCCCGTCGGTAAGGGATCTGCCCGATCGGGTTCCATCCGGGTCCCGGCCCGATCGGTGCCATCGCAGTGCGTGGCCGGTTCGCAGACCCAGTCACCCAGTCAACGTCCAAACACTTCGGAGGACTAGGTTGACTGGACTGGGTCACACACTGAGTTGCTTCTTTGTCCCGTTGCGCAAGGTGTCCTCGGCACTGCCTTGGTAGAAGCAAGCCTTGACTAATCTAACCTCAATTTAGAAACAATCAGTTGCTATGCTTTTTGTGCGCCATAGGGTGAATGCATCACTGTGTGGTATGTGTGATCTACAGCTGGTGCTCAAAATGTGGCAGTTTGCGACTCAACATTAATGCAACGGTGATGTCAAAACAAGTACGTAAATAAACTCTCTCTCTCGTGGGCCTTTCTCCACCATCGTGTGTGTGTTCACCCAATAGCGTTTGAAAGGTGATACAAGCGAGTCCTGAGCACACTTTTAAGATTTGTTGTCTTGTTTAATGTTGTTTGCTTACTTTCTTGAAGCCAAGACCAAATCGGAATGGGTTTGCCGCACAGCTCTGCTTCAGCCGAAGATACACCAACTCACGATCCAGGCGCATGATCTCAGCATCACGGTCCGCCACCTGCTAAGAGCAAGACTTAAGACTGGAGAATAGAAAGATCAAACCACACCACCCGAGCTTGGCAGCAAAAGCCTGAATCCCTTTTCCCTCTTCTGGAAGAAGGCACTTTAAACTTGGCTCAATGCCGACCAGTTTGTTGCTTTCCCAAGGGGCTATTGGATTTGCCGGCGCCTCTGGCATTCCTATTTCTATCATCTTCTATCAACACTTCTATTAACTGATCACATCCTATCATCTACAGTGAACCCGAAACTGGGGGCATGAGAAGGGACCAAATCTGCCCTGGCAACGCGCGCCAATGGGCCAAACAGCTGATTTGGCGATGTTCTAACTCCAGTTTGGGGGGTGGAGTCGGGATAGGCAGGGCGTTTTCAGTTGCACGAGACAAACTGCCACACATAGACTGCTGCAAGCATCACTAGACATTAGGTGGTGATTGCTGTCGTCATGCTATACATTTGCGATTGTTGCTGTTGTCATGAAGCCTTTAAATTGCTGCTGTTGATGCCGTTGATTGGCTTGTCATGGGACGACATTGTGTCTTTCTATGGCCATGGTGGCTTCCTATGGCCATTGTGGCCGGTCATTGCTATGGCCATTGTGGGCGGCCATTCCCATCTGTTGGGTCCTGCGGATCTCGCCTGCTCCTCAGCCCGGCGCGCTCGGGCAGAGGCCAGTTGCTGAGTATGGCTGAGCTCCTCGAGGAATCAGGAAGCTGAAGGGCTGACGAAAGAATACTATATTTTGACATAGCCACGGTTCCTGAAGCAGTTCTGGGCCATATTTGCCGTAGCCAGTGAGGAATATCCCAGCATATCCTATCTTTGTCATGGTGCTGATGATGTTCATGATGTTCATCGCTGGGCATGTTGAGGAATGTATATGGTTGGTTTCCAAAGTGTTTTTCCTAAAATGGTGCACTCATCGCAATTCCATGGGGGCCCGCTTCTAAGTCTCTTTTAAACTCCAACCACACTCAACCCACAGGGATGTTCAATATGAAGGCATGTCAACTGCAAAAACTGTAAGAAGTGTCTAGCGCGGACCTTTTTAGGGGCCTGTTGAGCTGCTGGAGCTGTTGTTGTTGTTGCTGCTACTGCTGCTGCTAGACTTCTGCAGTTGTTTCCAGTTCTCAGAAGTTTTCAGAACGACATAGGAAGGATGTAAGAGCTGACTCAAACCATTTAGGTGTTGGATGGGCAAATGGTCAAGAAATGGACCGTCGTCTAGCGCGGTGCTAGCGCGGATCTAGCGCCAGCCTAGCGCAAAAATCTCCGTCGATTTCTTCATCCTGTCAGGTTCTCAGTTTTCCTGCTTGCTTGTCTTCTTCTTGTTGTGCATTCTTCTTCTTCTCCTTCTTTGTGTTTCCTTTTTCTTGTCTTGATTAGTCTTTTTCCTGCTCTCTGCTTGTTTCTTCTTTGCTTATCCTGTTGTGAAGAAACCTAGCGCCAACCTAGCGCTGCCTTGCTGTATCACCATAGTCTGCTGGGGGCCCGCTTCTAAACGAAGACTTAAAACACATCTCCAACCCTAAAAAGTTTACGTTTATCTATATTTTTTTGAGTAGGCCTTTTTGAGCGCAGTCCATATAGACTGGCGCTGTATTCGCCTTACAAGGTGAAAGGTGAACATTTGCTGTTAAATCCTCCGGTAGATCCTTCTGGAGGGGGGAACGAAGCCCTTGAAAGAGGGGGCACCCTGCGCCTGGCCGTGCGTGTTTCGCTGCACACCAAAATGCACGGCCCAAGGTGTTCACCGGTTGTCCCACCTCTGCCACCTTCTCATCACTTCGACGAAGTGCCTCTCGACGAGCCACCTGCCATGTGGCTCAAAACCGAAGCGACCCGCAAAAATGGACGGCCTGCGCAAGGCTTCTGGACAAGTTGATGTTGATCCACCTCCACTCCATGTGGGTCAACATGCAGAATAGATCCTCTCTTATGTTCCCTCAACACTCCTGCCCCGCAGCTAGTCAAGTAGAGTTTAGAATTCCACTTCCTTGTTGCAAACAACTCGACAGAGAAGCGCCACGCCTCTCCTTGCAACTTGACATCATCAAGTTCCTTCCTAGCCTCAATCGACTCCCTCTCTTTCAAGCTCTTTAGACGAAAAATGACGAAAGGAAAGCTTTAAAACAATACTAAAACCAAAACAGAATGCAAAGGGTTCGTTCTTCGGTGCATCCCCACCCGGCACTGTTTCCGCCCCCTTGGCCGCCCAAGCGAAGCTCAACGACTCCCTGGCCCGGTGCAACTCGCCCTCGGTCTCACGGAGCTTGCTGCGCTCCTCGGGTCTCGCGGTGAGGGGTCCCGTGGAGTAGGCGCCTACCCCCCGGTCCGGGCCCGGTCCCCCCTGTGTCACCCCCTACTGGGCGCCGACTGGATAGCTAGTAGGCGCCTACTGGTAGCTAGTAGCTTCAGCTATTGCGCATGGACGCAGGATAGCTCACGCTTCTTTCTATTCATTTGGTTCCTAGAATCTATGAGTCTTATGAGTCTTAGAGCCCAAGTCTCTGCCAGCAACGAGGCTTGCAACTCTTGCAAGCGCTTCTGTAGCTCTGAGGCCTGCTACGGCAGTGTCGGAGTGTACCCAAAGTCAAACAAATGGTGTATTTTTTGAAAGAATGGACAGCCGCTGTCCAGCTGTCCCTTCCATCTCTTGTTTTCACAAATGATGCAAATATCCGTCACTTCTTCTGCTTCAATCAAAACAACATTTCGAGCGCCTTCTCAGTCGAGCTGTCTTCTCGCTTTTGCACTTTCTCTACCGTGAGCCCGCGCTCATCGGCCAAGGTCTGCAGCCGCAAGACGTCCTCAGTCCGCCGGTCGTGCGGGTCAGCGGACGTCGGTCGAGGAATGTCGAGGAGGTCGTTTCTCAGGAGGTCGGGACGGTCGGGGTCGACCTCCGTGGACGACTTCACCTTATAGAAATCCGGCCGAAACGTTCTTCATCTTCTCGAAACCGTCCTGCCGAAGCCGATGTTCTTCTTGCAGATGATGCTGCACCTGCGGAGAACAGCACGACAGAGCCTACCCCAAATCAAAAAGGTCATTGACACTGCATCTGCCTGCGCTTCGAGGATGGAGGCCTTTTCCTGCAAGGCAAGAAAAATCAGTCACACTCATACTTACAACACCTCAAAGCACTTAAAATCACTGTTATGACCCTCCAACCCACCACGGCCAAGTCTTTCGTGTCACATGTGGCATGTTTCGCGGACATCTCCTTCAGTTCATGCTCCATCCTCACTTTCTCGTGAAGTTCTTTTTGAAGGACTGCAACCTCCGCACAAAAAAAATCACTCCACGGCAACCCTCGGGTCGCAGCGAGTCGAAACTCGCGGTAACCAGAACTATCTCGTGGACATCGCAGTGGACCAAAAGCATGTGGTTCCACCGTCGATCGCGGTGACCAAAACGTTTCATCCAAGAGTGGTGAATGCGGTTACCAGGTCATTCTCGAAGGAAAGACCTTTTGGTGTCGGTGTCAGATGGGGGAGCTACAGTCCAAATTCATCCAAACTCATCACCAAACCCCGTTCGACCCCCATCAACTGGTGAGGCTGCAAGGCAGTCTCTCTTCAGGGTCACCCAACTTCAGCACGTCTCAATCAACAAGCAATTGGCACACGTTCGCAAGTTTCAACACACGCCCAGCTCATGTCACGCACTTTTCTCCGCTACAAAGATCAGAGCTTCATATAGATGACCGTCCATTTTCAACGCTGTCCATCCCGACCTCGGCGACCTCGGCTCAAGGTGCCAACTGTGGAACCTGTGAGGCCACAAATGGGGCAAGCTGTCCGTGCTGCCCGGCCTGGCTTGCCTAGCAGAGATCTCGAAACCACGGTTGATGGTTGATGCAGGAACGGCTCTTCCACTGCAAGTTCCCCCATAAGTCACGACGACACGGGTTCGGACTGATCCACCACGGCGCTGGCATCACATCCAGCTTCTCCATCCGGTGGCCTGGCAAATGGTGGCAACACACGTTGGTCAGAAACAAGCCGCATGGTGGCAGAAATTGCATCTGAACACCGCCGCAGGCCGCGCTCGACCTTGGTCTTCGGAAGCCCTCCGCCCTCCACCATGGCCGCCAGCTCCGGTGGCACCTGTTTGCGCCCAACGAGTTGATCTTCCACAGGCCAACCCAGGCGTTGCTTCACTCGTCTTGGGCCCCCTTTTTGTTCGCGACAAAGTCTGGAAGTAGTGAGATGTTACACTAACTATGTGGAAACCGACATAAGTGTGTTATAGTCTAAGTGGTAATACTGTTGATGGACGAACTACTGCCAACTCACACGGCAGCACTACTAGCAATACCTGCTGTGGACACGTACTCAGTGACCTTGGCATAGCCTCGCCACTGTTGTTGTTGCCGTCAGAGACAAAGGCGATGCCGGACACCAAATCCTCGTTTCCGCCATGGTCTGCAAATCATCAGCACCAAGTTCATACACAATGTTTCCAGACGCCGCTAGAAACTCCACGTAACGCGGTCCAAATCGTGTTTATTGCGTTGCGCGTCTTGGTGTGCGTTCTTGTTGTTGCGAGTGTCCGGCACTTGAATTATTTTGGTTCATCAGTTTCATTCTATGGTTTTGCCAATGTCTAAAACATGAGCCAAGGTCTGCGTATAAAACACTGTATGAGTCGTATGAGTTTTTGGTCGGAATTGGGAAGTAAGATGAAGTATCTGGGGCTCCGGCGACCATGGGCAACTCAATGTGCCTGACTGGGATGCACTCTCCCTACTACCTACACAGCAACCAAGCACCCCTCAAACCAACGTTGAGAACGGAATTTGTTGGCGTTAATGTTGTTCACTATGGGGTGGGCGCCGCCGAGAGGGGGGGGTCAAGTAATTGATTTATCAATTAGTCATCACGTGGGAAGGGGGGGAGTGGGGTGGTTAGACATTGATCTACCAATCTTTAGTCCCGAGCAGGCTCTCAAGCCAGCCCCTTTGCTTCGCAAAGCAAACTCAAGGTAGTCCTTACCAGGCTACCTTTCAGGGAAGCCCTGCAAGGTATACAGTAGGTCCTTCTAAGGCAAACCATGGCGCATCAGCACCAGAACAACCCCCAGAAGAACTGGACGCGAACCAAGTCCACTGTCTTGAAGCTGTTGGGTCAGGTGTTGACACATGGCCTTGGCCCAGTCAGTGGATGACATCACTCCGAGAAACGAATTTGCAAAACAAAACGCAAATTGTTCAGCGCTCATACTTTGCTGAACAAAGGGGAGGGGGGGTAATAATTATATATTTCAATTTTTGTGGGCGCAATTGTTGTAACAAACGGGGGGCTGTAGTTGGGGCAATTAGGGCCCATTCGGGGGCGCAATTGTTACAACAACTGGGGGGGGTATAATTTGCGTTGTTTCCATCCGGGGGATGCAATGGTTATTTAACATTGGGGGGGTTGTCAGTTGTTATTAAGCACCCCTCGCCGCCAACCGCAGCACTCTGCAAAAGAACAACAGCCAGGCCTCCAACGCTGCAGCTCATGGCTACACTCCGAAGACAGTGCGAGGACGCAGCGTGGTCTCTTCAGAAGAAGAGCGCAAACACAGGATTGATGTTGGAGAGAAGTTACGCGTAGATCGTCGGCACCCACGCTGGCGCAAGCGCTGGAAGAAGTCTACCTTGCGTTCAGGCTCAGTGACAAAACGCACTTTCACAACACTGCTTTGAAAAATGAGCTTCAGGCGTTGCAGCCAGAGTTCATGCTTCGTCAGAACAGATCTCGTGGCGGACATACAGCAAGAGTTGATGCTGGCAACGATGTTCGTGGTTAGAGGCTTTGCCTTGCTATTTTCCTTGCCTTTTTGGGATGTCTGGCTATCGTTCAATGGTGCTAGTCTAGGAGGTTACGTTGCAAGCCATTGGGCGGGCGCGTTGTATGTAATGACTGCCGGTTGCTTTGAGGAGGTCTGTGTGAACCCCACTGCGGCGAGCAGGAAGGACAAATCAGTCAGCAATTTCGGAAAAGCCTCTCAACGGCCAGAACGCTTGCGTCCGGCGTCTGTACCCGCAGGGCGCCCCATAAGATCGGAGCCCCAGCGTGGAAATGGTTGCCATAAGCCAAGCCTGCTGGAAAGCCGAACACCGCATATGAGAAAGAGAGACGACCAAACCGAATGGAAACATGGGAACGCAGACTGCGAAGCGTTCAAGGAACAAAGGGCAGCTTTTACATATGCTGAACACGCCAGTCAGCGACCAACCACCGCGCGAGACAGGCGAGTCTGGACCAACGGGATGGGAAGCAGCCAAACCAAACGTCGCTGCCACGAGAGGTGGTTCGTAGCCAGCCAAGGTCCGCGCGCAGCTCACATCAATGCGGGTCAAAACGCCACGCTCCATGCGGGCGACAACGACAATCCAGGTGCAATGCGGGCTGCACAGGCTCCTGAAACATTGGGAGGGAAAGTCCTCGCGCCATCAGCGGCTGCAATGCACAGGGCAAAGTATCGCGGGCGCGCTTGGCAAAGGCAGTCATGTGACTTGGTGACCAGGCACTCCACGCAGCACACGCTGCAACGCGGCTCACGCAAGCAATCAACGGTAGCATTGCAGGAGAAGCCGCGCGAGGTTGCGAGGCAGAGCCGCCAGGTTCATGGCGCGAGATTACAAGGAGTCCAGCGCGCGAATCGAGAGCCCAAACGCTGACGGAAGGAGATGTAGGGCCAACACTGAGGTCAACGTTGCAAACCATGGCAAACCCAGCAGAAGGAGATGGGAAGGAGAATGCACCAAAAAAAAAGTAGCGCGACGCATCTGGCAGCTCGGGCAAATGCAAAACATGAAAGAAGAAACCAAACACAGGCATGCCCGAGCAGCAGATGAAGCGAAGTAGCATTTAGCATGAGTGTCAAGGAAACGCACACTATATATACTGTAAACCTCTCATGCCCGGAGCATCTGGAAGCAAAGCAGCAGCAGAAGCTTCATTTTCATTGCCACAGGTCTCTGCTTGCAACCGCGCGCTATGACCATGAACGCGGTGATGCGAGATGCAATCGCGGCATTGTCGAGATCTGCCCGCGCGATTGCAGGTTGATTCTTCTTACTTGTCTGTCTGACAGCGGCGGCACTGAGAGTGCAAAAGGGTTCTCCAGCTTGATGAACAGCAGGCCGTTTTGGGTGATGGGACGCGCGACCGTATCCTCTGGAATTTTTAGTGAAGAAAGCACACTTCACTCCTGCGGCATTGGTTGACATCGTCGCTTGCCGAAGGCGAAGCAGTTTCACTAGTCGAAAAACCGTCGCCGTATCTGACACATGTCGGAGACAAATTCAATTCGACGATGACTTGTTTGAGGTGTCCAACATCAGACAGCCGTAGCACAAGTTGCTTCAAAGAAACACAAATGGCCCGGCAGAAGGTGAGAATCGTAAGTCGAAGCTGCGCGTGGAGCAGTCGTTGGTGGTCCCCTGGGCGATGGCTGCGCTGAAGGTGGAGGGGAGTTGGTGTCCGCATCACGACGGGGATGAAGAAGAACTAGCTTGCCAAAGATTGCATCCATGTACTCACACAGCAGCACCAAAGCCTTCGCAGCAGACACTGGCCCTGCGGTCGACCACTGCTGTGGGGCGGTGCCCGCAGCAGATTGCATCAGGTTGCGCAGCAGCAAAGCCAATCTGTAGCGTCGCGTCTATAGCCCTTCCCGGCGCCCTTGGCAGCCTGCTGATCTAAGTGTTGCCAGCGTGGTCCTCGAACAAGACGGCGGCCTCAGGCGTGAACCGATAATGAAGCCGTGAGTACCTCAGATCCTTCACGAAGGCAGCCACTTTGCGACCGGGCGCAGAGCCCCAGCCTTCATTTCATTTCTTGTTGTACCTGGGCCTGTCATTTCAATTCTTGTTAGCCCGGAGTCCGTCCCCCTCCACCCCAACAACAACAACAACAAGGTACAAACAAAAACTGCAGCCCCGTTGCAACATATCTTCTTCCTTTGTCTCTACAAGGGGGTGGAAAGAAGAACTGCAGCCCCGTCGTTGTCTTTTTGACCCCCCCGAAGCTAGCACGCTAGCTTTCGTGGCTTCAGTTTTTTGTCTGAGCGGCTTCAGTTTTTTGTCTGAGCGCGCAACCAGTGTTGATTTCTTGGGATGTTGATGCGCTCCAAGTGCTTTCCGTTGTCCACCATTCTCCTGCGACCAACCTTGAGGCAACCAAACACAAAACACTAAATTAACTACTACTACTACTACTACTCCTCCTATTACTTCTGCTACTGCTACTGCTACTGCTACTGCTACTACTACTACTACTACTACTACTACTACTACTACTACTACTACTACTTACTACTTACTACTTACTACTTACTACTTACTACTTACTACTTACTACTTTCTACTTACTACTTACTACTTACTACTTACTACTACGACTACGACTACGACTACGACTACGACTACGACTACGACTACTACTACTACTACTACTACTACTACTATGACTATGACGACTACGACTACGACGACGACGACTACTACTACTGTCGGAAATTCGGAAATTCATGCCGGCTGATCCTCACCAGGCGCCTTTCGGTCTCAGCTAGTTCCACTTTTATACGGACCGTGTCCGTTCTCCCTGAGAAGACCACCCCAAAAAGCGCTGTACGGTCAGCTGCGGATCGAATTACTACGTAAGAGAATAATTTCCACAATGTAAGTCCAACGCTGCACCCCAGGCTCTCTTGCTGGCGCAAACGGGATTCTCCTTGCATAACCGTGACACCTGAAAAGCATACACTTTTCGATTGCAGAACAAACGAACGGTCACACAAATAGATGTGGCTTCGTTCTGCTGGCTCGAACACGAAGGGATTTCGGCCAAAGCCCATTTCCCGGTCCGATCTCGAACACAAGGGGATTTCGGCCACAGCCAATTTCCCGGTCCGAGAGGCTCCACGAAACAGAAAAGCAGAACAAAACCTACTGTCCATCAACAGTGTGTTATAGTTGTAAAGACTATTTTAATATATACAAAAATTTACAAATGCTATAAATATATATATATATATACTTTATTTAACTAATCCTCTGTGGAATAACCGGTGGGGGTTGAGAACCCAATTTTATAGTGATAAATGACTGAACCAGGCGCTGGGAGCACAATGCCCCACTATAGAATCTAGCTTTCAACCCTTGTAGTGTACAGCATAGTTTCTCTATAGAATAAGGGGGGTCAACCTTTAAGGCACTAATGTAACAGAATTGTAGGCACAAAATCTGAATTATCCAATAGAAACAGCCAGGGGTGGTCCTCATTCTATAGACAAGTGGGTGTAACATCAAGGCTGACATATTATTTTAGAGGAAAGTTACGCAGCAATGGCAAAAGAGGTTGGCATTTTATTCTATAGAAACATGATTGAACATTGCAAGGTTGAAACTCATTTTATAAAAAAAATGAACAGAAAATGACACTCCAAAAACAAGATATGTCTATAGAGGTTGACATTCATTTTATAAGGACAGGGTTGGACACTCACAGGTTGATTTTTTTAGAAAGGTGGGCTGAATTTTTAACAAAAAAATCATTTTATAGTGGGCCAATATTCACCGTTTATTCCACAGGAAATGTGGGAATGCATGCACCAGATTGCACAAGAATGCGCCGGATATTTCGTGAAATCAGAATCAGAATCCAACCTACCTCACTGTAAAACATCCATCCACTCTAAAGTAAACTCTCAACCTTCTACTGTTCCAGGTTCTCTCTATAGAATCAAAACCATGTCCTCTATAAAATGTCCTCAATTGTCATGTATTCTCTATAAAATGAGGGTGATCAACCTATTGACCCATCAGTATATGATTTTCTCACCTCAGAGATCCTCAGAGTGGATCTGTCTCAGGTAGGTTGACATTTGATTCTAGAAAAAACTCTCTATAAAATGCCAGGTCATTTTGGAGCTCGACCTCCCCCATTCTATAGGGGTTATTCGGCAGAGGATATTAATTATATAAATAGTTCACCTCTCTGAACCTGTAAAATCTTTAAAGCCCCTGTGGTGTTCCGAACAAATCCTGACTCACGGGTTCCAGTCAATCCGATGAAGATGGATGGCACGCTGGTGAGGAAGATGGGTGAAGCAGTGGAGCAATTTGTTTCCCAAACGGTCTGAGACACGTCGTTCCTGCTACCTACTGACTGGTGTTCCCGCAGTGTGTGAAATTGCACCGGCTGCGCCGCAGCTGCGGGCTGCGCCTCTTGCCCCGATTGCTCAAGAACGTCCATCAACTTCCTGGAAGAAAATACACTTCGGGTCGCCCCAGCCCATCTTGACTCATTCGGAAACGTGGGATGCCACATGTTGAAAGATTCGGACACGTGAAAGGCCCGTCCCCCCAAGTGATGATTTCACATATGTCACATTCCAACTCAAGGGCCACCACACTGAGCGGTCCAAACCCATGACCAAAACCTGCGCTCCTCGGGAGGTCTGGGAGCTTCCTGTTGTGTTCGTAGAAGGTCAATGCCTCGTGATGACAGAGATTGATGAGGTTTTCTTATCTTCAGACACTTGCATCCATGATCCCAGGATTGGGGCCCACGACACTTTTGTGGCCGAAAGATGCGGAGAGTTAGTTGTTACCCTGGCTGACGTCTCACTTTGACATGGACCTATCCTGGTTGGATGATAACTACTAGCAAAGCGACCTACTAGCAAGACAAGTGGACGTGATCAAGTTGTCGAGGGGGCCTATCTTGTTAGAGAACTCGTTCTGGTGTTGAACAAAATGGAAAAGAAAACAGGTCACCACTCGCTTTGCTTTATATGTATCTACAACCAACAAATGCAGATGATCATAAGCGTTGAACGTGCACATTCGAGCTATCGAAATACCCATCTATAGCTCCTGCGCGCCTCCGTGTCACATCAAAGTATATTTGTATCAAAGTAGCATCTGTTGTTGGGCACTGCTGAAGGCTAAGCACCAGACATGACCTCGGCCATAGGGACCACGGGCTGTTCGCCCAATGCGGTGCACGTAGTCCTGCTACTGCGACGGCAAACATGCAGAGATGCCCAGGCCAAACTTCCCTCGTCATCTCGTGTGCACTTCACAGTCAATCGGTTAGGAAGGTGAATTGCAGTTCGAACCGCGAATCCGGATCTGTTTGGGAAGAACAGCTGTAGAACGGTTCTTGACATCCGCACCTCAATGTCACCCATGTCGTAGATCACCACCTCAACGAAACCGAGAGACGTCCACTCTCGAAGCTGGGGGTCAAAGTAAAATCAACATGATGGGAAGTAGAAACAATTGAGTCTCAGGTCCACCCTGACGCAGCAAGTAACCTATCAGCTGATCCGATGCATAGCTTGCTAGGCAGCAGCAAATGTCCAGCTGCGATTGTCAAACACAATGAGGAGGACCCCGTGCGAGCTGAAGTTGTCGAACTGTTTACTTTACTTTCCCCAATCATATCACAGTACGACACCAGCTTAGAGCCTTCACCTTGGTGAACTGCGCTTCCCCACTCTGTTCATCTCCCTTTCTCCCATCTTTCTCCCCCTTGGCCTCTTGGCCCTGCGTTCGACCTGCCTCTTGGCCCTTCCCTTCCGCCCTGTCCAACCAGTCCATCCTCCCTCGTCGCCACCTCGCGCGGAACCCGCCGGGCCACATGGGAGATGCCTGGGATGTCCAAGCCGCGACCTGAGATCGATTGAGCCACACAGATTCATGAGCCACACATTTTGGGGACATGTTTTTTTCACATTGATTCATGAGATTCACGTGTTGAACACCTTTGGAACGTGTTGAGCATCTATTTTGGAGGTCTCCAGAATAGACGACATGGGCAAAAGTGACTCCATTGGACTCAGCGACCCGAGCAGGTACGCTGAGTCAACGCATCATGTGTTCATGTGGAAGGAAGGGGCTCATAGCGATGGAAGCATGTACCTCCTGCATGAGCCGTAGGTGTTCTTTCGGAAGTTCGTAGGTGATTCTTTCTTTCCCTTTCGACCTTTAGACATGGTTTCTTTCTGGTTGCCCTGATTTCTGTTTACATAGTTTACATAATAAGTCATAATGTTTTATGGTGTCAGTTTCTATCCGTGCTGTAGGGTCTCTATCAGTACAAAGGCTGAGGGCGCTTCCCATCACGTCCGTCGTCACGAGCAGCTTGGTGTCACCATTTCGAAACTCCTCCAGACTGTCAGCGTCCGCCACAAGCTCAACAAGCTCTTGTTAAGAGTAGAGGGTCGAAAAAGTTGGAACTGGCTGAACTGGCTGACATGTGCGCATCCCCTCAATTGCTGGCTGACCTGCTGACATGTGCAACAAACCTTTCATAATCTGTCCATCTCCTCATCACTCTTTCCAGAACCCGGAACCCGCCTCTAACGTCGCAAGGCGCGAATCTTGGCTCTTGCCGCCGTGCCTTGATGCGTCAGCGCGCCAACAGCGACGTGGGATTCACACGCTTTCAATATCCATCGCATATGCTGCAACAACACCTGAACACGGCTGGCAACCGCATCGCACACTAAAGCAAGCGACAACCACATCGGGCTGGTATGAATCAAGGCTGAGGTCGCCGTTCGCCGTATCTTGATGGAGCACACAGGTATTGTCGATGCTATGTTGCTGTTGAATTGGAAGAAGAAACAATACAAGGTCTTGGATTATCTTGGGTATGAGTGGCTGGAGTTCCACTGAAACCAATGAATGAGACAATGTCAAGCGGCTGATCCTTTTCCAAGATGTTTGCCTATGAGAGTTCTGCAGAATCGTACAAGTGGAATTGACGAGTATACTCCCATACAGTGTGCATGGCGGTTTAATTAGAAGCAGGATACCCAGGATACCCTCCACACTCCAGGCATGCCGCTTTTGCTCAAACATGATGGTCAAGGGCTTCATTGTGGGACCCCTCACTTCTGGCCAGAGTATGTTGTATGATGCTATAAAGCAGTTTGTAGAGGAATGACCATAACCTGCTCCAACGCGCAAAATAAATCTAAGATAACGACTATATGATACTATATGGCACTCTTCTCACGTGCGTGAACAACATAACATGGCTCGTGACCTTACTTGCAAACCGCGATTGGTATATCGGCGCAACCATCAAGTGTCTCCTGCCACCTACAGAAGGGGATCAGCGTCGTGCAAGTGCATCCAAAACGTCGTTGTTATTTGTTTGCATGAAGTAGGAAGTTACTTCAACAGCAGAACACCGTTTGGAATCCCAATTCGGATTCGGAACTGTACTAAAGGAATTCTGCTGTTTTACCCCCGTCAGGAAGCACAAGCAAAACCACCAGAAGACAAGTTCTACTCCAGCCTTGCGTTGTCTTGCATCTTGCCTCCAATCGTCTTGTCTCCGTTCGCGTCTCCTGTTTCCTGTATGTCGAATCGCATGTGTCTCGTTGCACCTGGCGCGATTTGCGTCGCTGTGCATCGCAGACCAAGTGGCATCACATTTGCACTGAAGCCTTCGCTTTTGAGTCGCTTTGCCAACGTGTCAGCCAAATCTGAGAGGCGCCCAGCGAGCCGCGGGCGGTTCAGTGAAGCCGCACGGTGATGCGAGATGTTCCATACAAATCCAAGTCAAAACGACGTGAAATCCATGCAAATCCTAATTCTTTGGACTTCTCTTCTTTCCAACTCTCTCGATTCAAAGCTTTCCTCCAGAAGAGTAGTGGGTTGCAATGCACCAATGAGTTGCAAATCAACAATTCCCAAACATCATAGCACACCCAGTACTAGCATAGAAAATCATCCACCTGGAGAGTCCTCCATATTGGATATGACAAATCCACATGCAGAGTATCATAATCTTCCTCTTTCTCAATAATGCCATTTCATTTGCATAATCATTGGAATTTTAATCTGACGTTGTGCGGGCCATCCTTATGAGGGTTCAATTGCATCCAGAAATTGCCGGCCCAGGCGCTCTTTCGGCTCACGAAGACCAGCATCTTGTGGGACGCATCCGACTTGGACAGTGTGTTGCTGGAGGCTGCTGCGGGGGGCTGAAGTTTGGGAACCCCCACCCTAAACATGAGAGCTCATGAGATCTCTTCAAAAACAGAGCCATGGTTGGTGGTTCCCAAAAAGAAATGGTTAAGATCACCAACGCCCAAAGTTCAACAAACGATTGTTCCACATTCATGTTTGAAGGCCCACAGTTCAAAACACTACACTGTTCCAAAAAGCATTGATCAAAGAAGTCAGAAGGCCTAATACCGTTAAATTCCATGCCCAAAAGTATTAGAAGCAGGACAGGTCGCAGGATTTTAGCCGTACAGTTGCTCTCAAGAGCCTTTTGTTCAGGCGCGCAGTTGGAAAAATCAAATGGTCTACGGACCCGTTCTGTTCTTAAGCTAGCAGCTAAAGTGATCGAAAGCTATGCTTTCAGTCTGACTCAAAACGCTAATATCATAAGTGAGATCCTGCGGCAAAAAAATAGTCCTGAACGTTATCCCTTGGACTCTCGTTTGTGCACCAGAGGTAAGTAGCTGCAGCTAGAGAGCTAAAACCTCTCGCAAATGGGCGTAGAGCAGCTCCTGCACCGAGATCGGCCATTTCAAACAGAACGAAAGCCTCCAATGACTCAGCGTTCGGTTTTTCTGAGCAAAAAAAAACAAAACCTCCGGACTCAAAGAGCCAATCAGGACTCGGTACAATGAAATGGAACAAAAGTTGATCAGTTGACACTTCGACTTAAACAATGAGCTCGTGTGATTTTGGGAGTCATGTCCATGGTTTGGACCTCTCGTTCTTCACGTCCGTCGCCTGCTTTGCGGAGTCTCGCTCTTCCCAGGTGGGCCTGTCGGTGCGACCGCGTCGCGCGACCGCCTCGCGCGACCGCGCGGGTGGAGGCGGTGCATTCCAAGGCGCTGCTCGAAAACCACCACCTGCGCTGCACCAGCCCAGCAAGGTCAAACAAACACACAACTTGGCTGACACGGGGAACACCCATCACAAAGGTGATGACTTCATATGATCTCCACTTCAAAAATTTGAGACTGTTTCGGAACCACCAGTGACATTGACATTGGTCAGGATCATCAGCTGTACAACCCACGCAGGAGCTGCAGTGATTAATGCTCAAAACTCTTTAAAACTTAAAACCAATCAAAACGTGTTTATGATGTTCGCTTCTTCAGCACAGGATTTTCTGGGAAACTGCACAAATATCCGCGTAAACCCACCGCCGGTGCCCGGAAACAGCCCAGCACGAGCCTCTTGCAGGATGTCTTCCCGGGACGTTGGCCCCTCGCCATCCGTGCGCTGTCCGGCCATGATGCGCACAGGCGGAATCTCGCTACTACACCTCGCACCGAAACGCGGCTGGGAGACGAAGGGGCACGAAGCCGAGCACCGGCTGAAAGAGCCGAGGACCATGCCCGGCGTTTTTTGGGGGGAAGTGGCAAATATCGAACAGTGAAGCGAAAGGCTAGGGAAACGTGTGGATCAAGCACTTTCGACTTTCAAGCTGATTTTGACCTGTGGATCAACTTGTTGCTTCCTCAGGACCACGAGGTCATGACACGACTAGGAACAGTGTTCGCTACTAGGGCCTCCTGGCATCGCTACTAGGAGCAAGGACGCTACTAGGGGCTCCTGGCCTTGCTACTAGGAGCAAGAAGCTACTAGTAACAGGATATGCATGACGGAAACAAGATGTGGAGTCTGACCCCCAAAGGCTGAGGGCGAAACATTCGCTGCGCCATCTTTTGCACTTGAGAGGGCCATGTTGCAGAGAAGAAGAGAGTATGTCGGTCTGGGCGCACTGTCCTTAGTTTCAGAGCTGTTGGGCTGTGATATGGCAATCTAGAGGAGTCCAGCCTAGATATACAACCATCCTGGAGTAGATAGAATATAACCAAACCGATAATGTGACAAGTTTCCTGGATTTTATATTCTAAAAACTCCACGAGGAATATGACTTCATATAGAATACCCATCTCAACTTTTGCATGTCGGAAAAGTTGGCGTAGATCAGTTTGGTGGAGAGTGGTATGGCCTGAGTCAAGAGGTTGGGCGGCGTTTGTTTTTTGGGTTCTCTCCGTTGTCAGGACGTGTCATGACCCATTAGTGTCCGCTGTCCGCCAGTATTCAATAGCTTGCTCTGGTGGGGTCTGGTCTGTGACGGTCCTTGATGGGTTTGCGCTGAGGCCGAGAGACCTTAACACACCCCTCAAGACCCACTTCATTCGCAGTCCGTAACTCAGCCTAGCCTACCGGCTGGCTTGCGGCATGGGCAGTTGGCCAAGCGACTGTCCTATTCGGCCGACTTGCTCCTCAAAACCGCACTCCAGCATCCTATCAGCTTCATCTAAAACGAAGAAGGTGACCCGCTCAAGCGACACCTCTCCTTAGCTGATCCCATATCAGAGCGGTAGAACACACTGGCCACTACGACAAAAGAAAACCTACAAAAGAAAATGGGTGTGGGTTTAAAGTTGCTGCTTGTATGAATATCTACTCAAAAAGAACTGAGAAAATCATGGGCAGATTCACAAATGTGTTGTGTGTGTCTGAACAAGGCACTGGTTCAGCGCACTGGACTGCATAAGAGTCATCATGAGTTATCGTTATATTCTTCGGAGAACATGAGAGTTGCCCCCTTGGCGCTTGGGCGCAGCCCGACCAAAAAAGGAGATACTGATAATGCTGCAAACTACCGACCAATTTCCTTACTAAGTTGTGTATATAGAGTTTATGTGATTATGATCCGCCAAAGAATGCAAACCTGTGTTGAGAACAGCGTGTGTGTGCTACCCAATATGGTTTCCGACCTCAGAGATCCACCTCGCATGCTTTGTATATAATCCGTAGAATTCAAGATTACGCAAAAGTAAAAGGCGCCCGATTGAGTTTAGCCCTTTTAGATTGGGAAAAATCTGTTGATGAAGTTCAGCATGATAAGCTGATTTTTGCCCTCAAAAAAATAGTGTTCAATCAACACTATTGTGATTTTCTTCAAGATTGCTACAAGGAACCCACTTTTTATGTGAAAGATGCGTTTGGCACATCTGACATCAAACGCCAATCCTCAGGCATCAGGCAGGGTTGTCCGCTTTCCCCGTACCTTTTTGTCATTGTCATGTCTTGCATAGATTTTGAGATCCGCGCCAAGACTAGCCGATGGGTACACAACGGAAGAATCCCAAACCTTGACTTCGATGTGGTCTACTATGCCGATGACACTATTCTTTTCTCGACCGACAATAGGGCCTTGAACGAGCTACTGAAGTCGACAGACACCATTTCAGGTAAATATGGATTGCGGCTAAACAAGGACAAATGCGTGGCGATTTATATAAATGAACAACGAAGGCTGGGTCCACTTTGAAAACAACCAATAACCGCTCCCAAAAAAGCTTGAAGCAACTTATTTAGGAAATGAAATCAATAAAGAAGCTAACATAAAACATGAAACCCTCAACAAAATGCAAGAAGTACGGAAAACATGGTTTAAACTCTTGCCGTACTGGAAGGCAACAAATGCAAATGTGAAGTGGCAATTAATCATCTTTGACGCTGTAATCCGATCTAAGTTGTTGTACGGTCTTGAAACTGTTCATTTGACGGAAGCTTTGCTTAAAAAGATAGACGCCTTCCAAATGCAGTGTGTGAGGAAAATCCTCAAGATTCCAACGACTTTCATCGACAAAACAAACTCCAACAGAGTAGTGCTTGAAAAGCGTACAGAGTTGCTTTATCCAAATCAGGGCGACCAACGGAAGTTTAAACTGTTCAGCCAGTCTTATCAAGACAGAAAAACCAAACTTCTAGGGCATGTAGTGAGAGCTGTCGATGATGACCCCTTACGGCAAGTGTCATTCCAACAAGGTACTGCTCTTAGAGTACAATACGGTAAAAAGAGTCGGTCGCCCTAGGCAAAGCTGGCTGCATTATGCCAAAAAACACACGTTCGAACATATCCTTGGTGGCTACGAATATGAAGAAATGGTTGATGAAGATGCACGAATCTATAATGCAGCCATAAATCGAACATTTTAAGCTGACACTGCACTACTGACCTGCGGCTACGCCCACGCTCTGCATGTCAATGACAGCTTTCATTGCAGGGTATGGCTGTGCAAAAAACAATGTCTGTATAGTTGTTAAAATCATCTTAAATGGTTGGTTGGTCTCAGGGGCTCACTGCGTGCCGCTTCTTTTCGTTGACTGCCGGGTGTATTGGTGCGCCAATGGACAGAAAGGACCCGTGGACTGCACCACCACAAGCCTGCCAAAAAAATCTAAACTGTTCAGAATGTCGTCTTTAGGTTCCTGTAACTCCTGTATGGTTGTATTATTTGGTGGATGTCTTTGCATGAATCTGGTGGATGGCTGGATGCCCTTGGCCTTCAGCAACTTTGAAACACGGACCACCCTGGTGACACCGAAGCACACCATCACACTCAGCTCTCCATCTACTGGCGCTGTGTTCCCCACCGCGGTCTCCTCTCTTGGTCTCCGAGGCGCCGCTGTCTATCACGTCGAGAAGCCGCCCAGGCGTGGCGGCCACGAAGTGCCCACCATTTCGGCACTCCGCCACCTGCGCCACCATTGCAAGGCGAGAAATCGCAGCAAAATGCCCGGCTCAGAGACTCCCCCAAAAACCAACCTGTGCCTTCTAGTGGCCGAAAGGTAGCTGTCATGTGTTCCTCTTACCGCAGCTTCAGCTGCGTCAGCGGCTACATACATCAAGCACGCAGCACAGTCCACCTTGGCAAGCTAGCCATCAATTACTGTACAAACCTGGCACGCCGGGAAGGGGGACTCTACATGCCCAAGGAAAACAATCTCAACCGCCCAAGGAATCGCCATGGAGCCACCTTCCTTGTCAACTGACCCCCACGCTGGTCTTGCCTCAAACCTCCGGCCAACCTTCTTTCGGATCGCATTCTTCCCTGGGCGGGCCTGACAACAAGCCTTTAAATATGGCACGCCGGCGTCCAACCCACGTGGTGCATATGGTATTATGAACACAGGGAGGTCGGCAGCATCCTGAGGATAGCTGCACCGCAAAGCTTCCTGTCCCTCAGGGATCTTGCGAGGAGTCTGATAAAGTGAGCATGTGCACTCGAACCACCAAGGAGAACAAGCAGGGAGCAAAAGGCCCAGGCACTTTCTGCTATCAAACAACAACCATACTTCATTGTCATCCACCCGTTCACCGTCACCGTCACCAACCAGAAACTTCAGTGAAGAGCTAGACAACGCCCGAGTCCAACAAACGATTGCACCCATGGAAGGCATAACCCAAAAATGCCAGGAATGTTATCCAAGAAGTCATCTCCACCACGACAGTTTGGATGCCAGCTCGCTCATGGTGGCGCCTGCCATCCCTTGCTCCCCTGGCCCCCGCCGTAGAGCACCGCCGGAGTCAGACCACCTGGCAAGCGCTCAATGCCCGTGTGTGAATAGTTCCTTGCCCTACAAGTAGGAGGATCAAGAATGATAAAGAGACCACAATAATGCGAAAGTCCGCCTGCCCAAGACATCCCACACTAATCCTAGCTTGACTATGGCGGCTACAAGGCTTGGTCCTTCAGACACTACTTACACATGGCGCCAAGAATAGCTGGAAGGGCGCAAAGGGGCACATGCCAAACGCCAAAATCTAAATCGTCCAATCGTCCCTGATGGGTTTGCAACACTTTCATTTGAATGCAATGACTCAATGCACCACCAAGTCCTTCGCATCTTTTGTTCAATCCGATTGGAACGGGGTGTTCTTGTTTGGGCACCGGGGACCACTTCCAACTTTGAATGATATCTGCCTCTGCCCATGAGCATGTCTCACTGTGGACCACCCACAATCCGGTACATGACTTCTGCATATGCTCGCCGTCACTTCTTTCTTGTGCAACAGAACTTCATTCATGTTTATTCATTTGTGTGTCTAGGGATGTCTAGGGTAGGTACGGAGTATGGCGCTGCACACGCAAAAGGAACCAAATTGACGCTCCAAGGATGTCAAGTTATCCTTCCGTCTGGAGGCGCTGCCAGGCGCCAGGTTCCGTGGGTTTCCCTTCACCGTCGAAGGGCCCTCCTCCAACGTGTTGGAATCACTGGTGTAAGGAACACCGTCCGTTGCATATCATTGGCCGTTCAGTTTTATTTTGTTCATCTTCATGTGAGATTTCTTCATGCGTTTTGGGTGCCATTTCCACCTGACTCCTGCCACGCGAGCACGCGGCGATTTGATGCGATTGCCACCTGGATGGGCGCTGCCATTTTTGGAGAAGTATGTCACCTGAACTTGCGGAGGACGGTTCTTCGCCCAACACGAAGGTTGCGGGTAGAACACAAAACAACAATCAAAAGAGCGTTACACTACACGATTTGTTTATCAATAATAACGCCCATGCTCATGACAGCTATTGTCATCTCCTTTCTCCTAGCAGAAGAAGATCGGGCTGAGCTTGTGGCTGCCTTCACCATGTCGGAGATTTGTACCGCCAGCTCCCTGGTGGGCGCTAGGATCAAGACCTGGAAATGACTGGTTTGTCGGCAGATTCGGCCCAACAATGCAGTGAGTGATGATGTTGATAGTGATGACGACGCTGAATGATAATGAATGAGTGATGAAGGATTATGATGATACGTGGGGATGGGGGAGGAGGGGGGAGGGGCCATGCTATGTTTTGAACTGGTGGCAAAGCCAAACACGTTGCAAAAGTTCATGGTTGGGCCACCCATGGTAGCAGTTGTATTAGACAAACCCCCTTCTAGGCAACCTGGTCTTGAACTTCCAGAGTCAGGCTCTGTCTTTTGAAACGCATATCTGCATGCATTTAGACATGCCTCCGTGCATGTTGACCAATACAAGCATGTGCTTTCAGAAACACAACGTTGTACTTCCCAAGTCAAAACTTGGCCTTTCCAAAAGCATTCAGAAAATCATTTTGGAAACATGCCGTTGCCTTGTGTGAGATGAAAGCTAGCAAAGATTCATCGAGCCACGTAATGCGCACGCTATCACGCGATCATCCGGCGACGATGGCTTCACTGACAACAATTCAAAAAATCAACCCCACATGACGGCAGCAAGACCAGGCACCTTCAAAACTGAAACCCCAAACCATCGGTTCAAGAGTGTACAGTATACTGCTCATGTTCATGGGTCTTGATTCACAAAGCTTGTCCCACGTCACCTCGAACGGACGAATTCACCGAGAAACGTTTCGGCCGAGTGTCACAAGCCTCACGCCGTTTTGGCCAAGGGGCGATCGGCGTCGCATCCCCTTTGGGTTTGGGCTCCTGCACTTCCACGTGAGCTATGGCCGGCAGCACATATGCCTCGGTAGTGCATACTCGCGCTTTGAACGGTTTGGGCTCCACATCGGAGGTGTGGGAGAAGAGCACTGCGGAAAGAACCTTAACCGAAGGCAGGGTTGCTCAATGGACGCCCGGTTCCAATGGAGTTGGGGTGGAAGCAAACTTTTTGTGTGCCATGCATTGACATCCACACCTCGGGAAACCTTCACCGACCGTGGTCTCATCAATCCAAGGCTCAAGTGTTTTGCCGCTGCCAGTCTTCGCAACGCCAACGACATCCGAACCAGACAGCACAAGCCTTACGGAGTGTCGCAAGACTCTCGCCGTTCCAACAGCACCCTTTAGTGCAGCGACGCCGAAACCTCTGGAGGAACCCTGAGTGTGGTTTGCATGCATCGGTGCAGCTTCTCCGCAGCGACGCAGATGACAACCAAACGCGCAGTTTGTGCAACCAGCGGGCGCTTCCAAACGGAAACCCCAACAAAAAAATATGGGATTGATAGCGTCGAGCACGTTCTGGCCATATTAAAGATGTTGCGTCTGAGCTCTCAAATTGACCGCTTTCAGGCCCAAGTCACGGCAGTGCTTGTGCCTGTGACAGCGTACAAAGACCATTCACAACACTTTCCAAAGGCGACCTATACCGCTACAATTGGAAGCATGAACATCATCACTTGCTATGCCCCTGCAAAGTGGCAGACCTGAAGCTGACAAGGAAGCCGTATGACAAGTTCAATCATCAAACAATTCGCGGTTGTTTGCATGTTTGACTACTTTTCTGCAAACATTGCGTTTTGAAAAAGATACCGCCAGGGGACGCAGCAAGCCGCTCAAGTCTGTTGTTGTTGTTGCTGTTGTTGTTGTTGGTAGGAACAAAAGAACCGCCCAACTTGTGGCCCAGAGGGGGGTGGCGAAAGCTAGGCAAATAAACAACGCTGGGGCTCTTTGGGCAGCAAAAGCCAGGCCGGGAATCGCAACATGCCATGGCCAAGGGAAAAGGAGAGTGCCAACAGCGCCCCCCCAATACGACCCCAACACAGCCAACACATGGCAACACACAACCACCCCAGCAACCGCCGCAGCAGCAGCAGCAGCAACAGCCACAACAACAATAACTGTAACCAGCAGCGGCAGCGGCAGCAAGCAGAAGCTACCAAGCAGCAGCAGCAACAGCTACCAAGCGGCAGCAGCAGCAGCAGGAGCAGCTACCAAGCAGCAGCAGCAGCTACCAAGCAGCAGCAGCAACAGCTACCAAGCAACAGCAGCAGCAGCTACCAAGCAACAGCAGCAGCAGCAGCAGCAGCAGATAGCAAGCAACAGCAGCATCAGCTACCAAGCAGCAGCCGCAGTAGCAGCAGCAGCAGCAGCTACCAAGCAGCAGCAGCAGCATCAGCAGGAGCCACCAAGCAGCAGCAGCATCAGCAGCAGCTACCAAGCAGCAGCAGCAGCAGCAGCAGCAGCAGCAGCCCAGCAGCAGCAGCAGCAGCAGCAGCCAAGCAGCAGCCAAGCAGCAGCCAAGCAGCAGCAGCCAAAGCAGCCAAAGCAGCAGCAGCAGCCAAGCAGCAGCAGCAAAGCAGCAGCAGCAAAGCAGCAGCAGCAAAGCAGCAGCAGCAAAGGCAGCAGCAGCGGCAAAGGCAGCAGCAGCAGCAAAGGCGGCAGCAGCAGCAGCAGCAGATAGCAAGCAACAGCAGCATCAGCTACCAAGCAGCAGCCGCAGTAGCAGCAGCAGCAGCAGCTGCCAAGCAGCAGCAGCTACCAAGCAGCAGCAGCAGCATCAGCAGGAGCCACCAAGCAGCAGCAGCATCAGCAGCAGCTACCAAGCAGCAGCAGCAAAGGCAGCAGCAGCAGCAAAGGCGGCAGCAGCAGCAGCAGTGTTGCGTTGCAACAAGTGCAGCAACCCTGAACCGCATGAATGGCATCAACCGTACCATGACACGAGTTGGGGCAGCGTGACAATAGTATAGTTAATATAAGATGCACAAAGGGAAGACTCAACTACTGCCATGCTCCAAAAGCATCAAAGCATCACCCCCCAGAGTTTACGTATATCTTTCTCGAGCCACACGTGCACAGCAAACCACGGCTTTGAAGTCTCATTCGTGCTTTGAACTTGTATAGGTGTGTAAGAGGTATAGCAACATAGCATCTATACGGACCCAGGGAACGAAGTGAGTAGTTAGGGGGTCGCAAAAAGTACACGTAAACTCGGCACATGCTGGGGGAGAAGGGTGCGTCGAGGGAAGGTTTTTTGAGGTTGTGTTGGAGGTGATTATTGAGGCGTGGTGATGCAAGAAATGCAATTTGCATCATTTGCATCATCTGAATGGAAAGGTGTAGTTGGCACCTTGCCAGGTATAGAGACGTGCAGCTACCAGGTATAGTCCTTCAAGTTCCCTTTCCGTCAACCGCTCGATAACCTCTACGCACGCACAGCAATCCACAGCTTTGAAGCCTCATGCGCGCGATACCTGGGAACAGAATTGAGCCACCGTGGGTCCGTATGAATGCTATGTTGCTATACCGTTTACACACCTATACCAGTTCAAAGCACGAATGAGACTTCATAGCTGCGGTTTGCTGCGCATGTGTGGCTCGAGAAAGATATACGTAAACTCTGGCAGGTGATGCTTTGATGCTTTTGGAGCGGGCGGTGACGCACTCGCACACCAGTACCGGTCTAAGAGGGTTCTGGCCTGAAGGATTTGATGTTATAAGATTGTTAAAACCGCCAGGAATGAGAGAACATGACTTAAAAAACCTGCAGAGCTTGGATCTTGCAGACACATCTTAGCCCACACCGCTCCACCGATCCTAAGAATGGCTCAATCACCCACGCAACTCCCCGAAATCGGTAGACCCAGAGTTGTTTGGCATACATCTTCAGGCTTTGGCTGCAAAAGGATCATAGCTAGCAAAGGGACGTGGTCAAATGTGCGTCCCAATTAACAGGATCCGAACTCGACTTTTCTCAGGCATTTGGCTCAGAAGGTATCAGGAACAAACATTGACATCTGCAGCCACTGCTTTTTAAACAATTCTGGTATAGTCTCCGCCAGTCAGTGTCACGACATATCCGTTCACTGATAATAAAACGTGGCCAACCGCAATATTCGTGTTGGACGCCGGCGAATTTGGCGTGATAGACCTCACCTTCCACATACTAAGTGGACGTGATTCAAATGCAACTCCCCATCGATTCTGATTCTGTCGACTCAGCGTCACGCTGACAACATGTCCGCGATACCCACCAATGGTCACTGGTCCGATATGCAAGTTGGTAATGGTGGTATTGGTGGTATTGGCCAATGTTGCCAAAGAGTTGCAACCAGCAAACGTTTGCCAGAAAGTCACGCCCACATCTAGCAAATTCCTTGGTGCGTCTGGAAACAAACGCAATAAGTATTTCAGGTCAATGTGTTTCACAAGAAGATGCCTTTGAAGTGCGTAGTCTTGCCAATGATCTGGATTCGAAAGGAAACTGTCGAGATTGTCATGGAGCTTTTTTGCAAGGTTGCGAATTTATTTCTGGATTTTTCGTTTTTTTTTGGAATGTTTTTCGTGTTTCGTGGCAGGCGCAGTACTTTGTGGACCTTGCAAAGCACATTTCGTGGCAGGTGCAGGACTTTGTGGGCCTTGGAGTGCAGAGTTTGTGGCAGGCGCAGGACTTTTTGTGGGCCTTGAAGTGCAGATTTCGTGGCAGGTGTAGTACAAAGTGGCCCTTGGAGCGCAGATTTTGTGGCAGGCGCAGGACTTTGTGGACCTTGAAGCGCAGATTTCGTGGCAGATGCAGGACTTTGTGGGTGTGGAAGTGTAGAGTTGGTGGCAGGTGCAGGACTTTGTGGGCCTTGGAGTGCAGATTTCGTGGCAGGCGCAAGACTTTGTGGACCTTGAAGTGCAGATTTCGTGGCAGGTGCAGTACTTTGTGGATGTTGAACTGCAGAAAGATAGAAAGATAGAAAGATAAATTGATAGATTAGATTAGATTAGATTAGATTAGATTAGATTAGATAAGATAAGATTAGATTAGATTAGATAGATAGATAGATAGAGGAAGCATATTTGCTTGGTTAGAAAGTTTTGCGCCGGGGAGTTCACCTTAAATTATTGATTTCGTGGCAGGCGCGGGCGTCGGGGATTAAGTGCAGATTTCGTTGCGCGGGGGGGGGTTTGGGGGGGGCGCAGCGCCCCCCCCAGCAGCACACCAGATCCAAAGGTGAGCAGCTCGCGCTTGCTTGCTTGCTTGCTTCCTTGTTTGGTTTCGTCTCTGCAACGAAAACAACAGGAAAAGCAAATACAAAAAGAGAAAGGAGAACAGCTGCCAATAGAAAGAAAGAAAGATAGATAGATAGATAAATGGATAGGTATAGACAGATAGATGGATAGGCCAAAAAGCCAAAAGCCACAAAAGCCAAAAGCCACAGAAGCCACGAAAGCCACGAAAGCCAAAAGCCACAAAAGCCAGAAGCCACAGAAGCCAAAAGCCACAAAAGCCAGAAGCCACAGAAGCCAGAAGCCAGAAGCCACGAAAAACAAAAAACCAAAAAAGAAACAAAAAAAAATCCAAAAATAAATACCCCTCCCTTTTTGCCATCGCCGGACTTAACCGCCGCAGAGCCTGCCAACATGGTGTAGGAGGCGCCAAAATGGACATACTGACAAACACGGCCAGAGCTGCCAGTTCCATGTACAATTTCACGTGGTTGGCTTCGATTAGTGCTCCCATAAGTGCCTCCACACAATTGGCCTCTTTATGGTCTTTCCTCTTCCCCCTATTCGCGATCGAATACTTGATGGGAATCCCTGACTGCTGTGACTGTTGTGACTGCGACTGCGCCTCGTTTGCTGGTTTGAAACCCAGCAAACCACTATTGCCAGTGTTTCTGACCTGTTTGCTGGTTCACCCATGCCGAGACAAAGACTGCGTACTTTTTGAAAGACTTGTCCGTGAGATCCTGGATTCGGCAAGGTTTTCTTGACGTCGAGCCACAACTCTTTTGGAAAAGTCATCACACTCAAAGGAATGCGGCCCAATGATGACAACTTCCGGATGTCGTGCGATGACACCAATTTCCATCCACTCTCTTCCCCGAGCCGCTCTTTTCCGACCCATGATTGAATCTTCGGTTGACGATTAAAGCCGCGAAACCCGACAAGTTTCGGTTCATCCTTTTTGTATTTAGCTTTGATGCATGCAACCACTCTGCTGCCGGCTGGAGTTTCTCTTAGTTGCTCAGTAGCAGCTGAAAGCATGTCAATTGGGGCGAAGCGTAGATTTGCCAATTCATCTGCTTGGATCGATGTCTTCCGCATATCGCACACAAGGAAATGAAAAAGACAAGTGGCCTCTATCTTGAAGTGTCTGTCGCCTGCAAGGTTTTGCCTAACTGTCACACATGACACATGTCAACAGAATCCTCCAAGGCAGCAGCACCCTCCACCCAAACTCCAACAAGGGAAACAAAACATCAACACCAGCACCAGCACCCTGCACAGGCAGCGTCGCAAGCAACCACACCCTGTGCAAGCCTAAACCAACCCACAAAACTATATATTCATTATCATCATTAACTTGTTGATTGACTTGTCCCGCCT